TGGAGCCCTGTTGGAGTTACCTGGGAGCTTAAGCTTCCTGCAGCATGAATTGCAGTGGTGCTTCGCTCTAAAGTTCTTGATGGCATCTTCTCCTAGATTTGCAGGCCCAAATACCATATCACTTGACCTTTAAAAGAAAGCAGGCGTTTAAAAAGTCTACAGCCAGCCAGCTATGCAAAATGCCTTATGTGATCTTCTACATAACCAGGCCCGTAGCTAGGCAGGGGCGGGAGGGGCAACACCCCTCCCAAGCATAGTTCCCTCTAAGCTGAGTTGGTGTGAGCTAGCTCAAAGATTTTTAGCCTCCGGCTCACAGATTTTTGTTTTAGCTCAGGAAGGATGGCTCCAAAGCAAACTGATTTATGCAGCAGCCAAATCACTCGCTCACAACTTTAATGCCAGTAGCTCACAAGGTAGAATTTTTGCTCACAAGACTCCATAGCTTAGAGGGAACATTGCTCCCAAGTCTGCTACACCCACCCCCAACCTTCCCTGGAACGCAGGCGAAAGGCAGTGGTGTGAGTGGCGGTGGCTGGAGGGGAGGCCTGTACAGAACACAATATACAGCGGTACTTCTGCCGCTTTTCCTGTTACCGGTGAGAAGGAAATGAGGTTATAATCAAGGTAGCCCAGAGGAATGCAGTAGTGGCTGTTCCCAGTGTGAAGCATGACTGCCCTCACTCCATCAATGCAAACAGTAAGCTAAAATTACTGGCTTACTAAGCTTTACATCTCTGGGTCAAGATCTCATCACCCATCTGCCACCCAGTCACCTCTATTGAAGGGCGGGTGACCTTGAGGCACGTCACAGGGGCACGTGGCCTTACAACTTCTGCTGCTGTAGGAAAAAACTGGAACTGCTTACCTTTTTTCTCCAGCCTTTATCACAGAGGGGTCTGTCAAATTTTCACCGACACCTTCACAAGAAACAAAGGAAATTATAAACCTGCAAGTTAATGATCAGCAACAGATCTTAACGTTCATGAACAAATCTGCTATATAAAGGAAGGGCAGTTAACATTGTTTATGCATCATTTGAGTCTCCCCGAGGCATGTATTTTTTGTGCAGAGCCTTCTGAAGGGCATGGAGGGGAGAGGTTTTCAGTCCATTCCCTTTCTTCGCACTCTGATGGGATGTGCTTATTGCCCCAGCGTGATCACATTTCTGGGCAGTTCAACAGCTTACGGCAGTTCACTCAAACAGTTTGTTCGTAACTCCTATTATGAAGGAGTTATGACTCCTTACACTGCTTTATACCCAGTTAGACCACTTGTCTCCATCTGCCTCACTATTGCCAACTCTGACTGGCAGCAGCTCTCTGGGGGCAGCGTAGAGAAAGGTCTTTTCCAGTACCTGGGGACACTTCACCTGGAGACGCCAGTGACTGAACCGGGGACCTTCAGCATGCAAAGCAGGTGCTCTGTTCACAAGCCAAAGCTTTACAGCTCTTGCCTTGCTCTGGAGAACTTGTTTATCACGACCACCATTTCAGGATTATTATTTTTTTTTGCTATGAAAAATAGGCAGGGTGCCTTATACCATGATTCCCAGTAGTGTCTCCTCGAGAGTCTACTGCAGCTCACAAAAAAGATTGGGCCGCATCCCTCACAGCCTCCTTTTACCTTGAAGATCCAGGACCAGCAACTCCCCCCGAGTATATTCGTAGGTCCAGTGGCTGAAGGCCAGCATCATCTCTTCCAGCGTGTTGGTTGGGATGATCTCGTCCCCGTTGTTGTTGTTGTACTTCCGGAATTCCCCCGTCATGCACTCCTCCACTGCAAACCACTGCCCCGCCGAATGGCAGTATAAGAGGAACACTTCCAGGAATCTGACGAGAGAACACATCACACACAACAAGGTAATGTGTGAGCAACTGACTGAGGAAAGCCTTGTTAAACTCCATCTCTAAGTAGGTGCAAACTTTCCTTTGTTTCAAAACCCCCCCCCCCCAACACACACATTTAGCCAAAGAGGCATAGACTAGTTCACCATATCTCAATCCATGCAAACGTTCAGCAATATTTCCTTACTGAGTTTTTCATTCCGGACCTTCCCCTCCTCCCAGCTGCTCTAGGACGGCACATACAGCCCCCTTCCCCTCCATTTCATCCACATAAAAGTCCTTGGTGAGGTTGCTTGGGGACAGCAGCTGGCCCCAAATAAAAACATTAACAAAAATGTACTCCCATGTGAGTCACACCTCTCTTCGTAAGAACCACGACTGCATCAGACCGGTCCACAGTTGCAGAGAGAACTTCATAACTGAACAAACTTGAACTCAGTCAACTGAGCAGCATCTAGAAACTCCCATTTCTGAAGGGCTTTTGGTTGCTCAGTAGTAGTTAAAAGGGTCAGACTAGTATCTGGGAGTCCCAGGTTCGAATCTCCACTCTTCCATGGAAATTTGCTGGGTGCCCCTGGGCCAGCCATAGTCTCGCAGCCTAACCTACGTCACAGGGTTGTTGTGAGGATAAAATGGAGGGGAAGAGAACCACATGAGCCACTTTTAGTCCCCACTGGGGTACAAATGTATAAAATAAATAAATAAAATTCCTGCAAGGCACACCACGAGCTCCACACATGTCCCAGGCCCTGTCCTGGTCAATGGCTTCTCCATGCCCACTTCCCCCAGCCATGTGGATCGAAAGAACATTTCACCAGCTAAGCTGTGCTGTGTTTTGCATCAACAACAATTTAAGGACCATCCAGTATCTTGATGATGATAATTTGAGAACACAAAGCAAAATCCTGCTAAAGTAGTCCTCTGCAAAAAAGTCCAGCAATTTTAATAGTTTGCCATATCATTAAAAAATACGTATTTTCCCAATGTCTGCTATATCACAGCTTTTTTCTCCTTGCCAAACAAGCCAGCTAGAAAAGGGCAGAAACATCATTTCACTTGATTTTTGCAAGTCTCAGCAAATCTATTAATGATGACCAAGGCTTTACTCAGATCTATTAATGATGACCAAGTTTTGCATCAGGTTAATCCAAATACCGTCCAAAGAAAAGCTCAGTTCTGTAAGATGTATGAATTGTGTAAATTAAACATGACTGCACATTTTCTCTTACTGTGCATAGCTTCTTCTGTCATTTTATTATCTTACACAATTTGTTCTGGCCCGGGGAAGAGCAAAGACACGATACTGGCTTCTGAGACTTTTCACCAGGTGCCACCAATGGAAGAGATTCTCAAGAACCCAAATTCTGTGCCTAGGTTTTCTGTTGTTATACAAAATTTCAGCACACATGAGGTCCTATACACCTAATGTTTTAAAAATTAGCCAGATTCACAGGCAAGCAGAACACTAATTGCTTTGGTAATTCTAAAGCATCATTTGCTGGAGACTGGTATCTATCGATGCTGAACTCTGGTTCTTCATACAAACAATGAGTCTCATGACAGCCAATTCTCTGATTTTACATTTGCTAGACTTGCAACAGCAATCGTTTCAGCCCTGGACAATTCTTGGGTTGAAATTTGGAGTCATTCTCTGGTTTTACATTTTTTCCATATAGGAATCAATGGAAGACGGCTGGGGGCACTTCGTTCAGGGGCCCACAGAACTTAGACCCTCTTAGTCCAATTCAGGCACCAGCAGGCACCAGCAGCTCTGCTGCAATTCTGATGCCAGTAGCTTTAAAAACAGCCCCTCCAGCCTCCCAGAAAGATTCCCCATAGGGAAAAATGAAGCTGAAAAATACTGGACCCCCACCACCACCACCGAATCCTAATACCAAACTGGTATTTGTAACCTGGGAAACCAGGAATACTGATATTTTTCAGCTCCCTGATACCTGAATCCAACAAATGAGAATTTTTTTGAGCTTCATATCCCTACTGATCCACGCAGCGAAGAGTGGGAGCAGGAGCAGGAGAATGCCACCCCTGAAACAGGGCTGTCTGGATATTTACAATACTAGGCTTGAGCAATCATTGTTCTGGTCCACTGCCAAATATTTTCTAGTACTTACCTTGGAGAATATGGAATTGACTTGGGTTTCATCTGATTGAATGCAAATGTGAGTTTCTGTGCAGCCCTCTGTTGCTGAATTTCCTGGGGATACAGAAAACACCCCCCCCACACACACACAGGCCTTCATATTAAAGAAAAACATCCAAATGAGGAGAACTGAGCTGTGTTAACTTCTCCTACAGCAGCAGTCCCCAACCTTTTCAGTACAGTGAACCACAAGTCCAGGTTTGCTTGGTCTGATGACTCAAACAAGGCTGGCTCAAGGTCTCTTGGCACCCACCTAGTTCAGCTTTCCTTTTTCTACAGTAGCTAACCAGATGTTTCTGAGAAACCAGCAAACATTGCACAAAGGGCACAGCTGCCCCCACAAACCCCAAGCAACTGGCACTCTAACATACAGGGCCTCTGCATGTGGCGACTACAGTCCAGACCCTCTGCTTCTCCTAAGAAGCCCACAATATAACCATCAGGACACATTTTACTTGAGCGACACGCACAGGCAGTGAACGTCAAGTAATATTAAGACATGGAAGATACTGCTTTCAGGGTCACACATCTTGGTCTCTTAAGATACAGAAGTGAGCAACAGAAAGGACAAGGGAGGGCTGGTCTGCGACCCACTTCTGGGTGGCAACCCACAGGTTGGGAAACGCTGTTCTGTAGGATCACAATGTTTGTGTTTCCATCTTCATGCTGACAAAAAGTTGAGGCTATGAGATGTGGGTGGCCAAAGTGAAACCTCATGGACCAGACACATCTCCTATTTAAATTATTTCAATCAGCCTCGGACATCCCCGCCAAATTTTAATCCATGCTTGGCAAAAAAAGAAAGGGGGGTTTACTTATTTTCCCCCCCAACTTACAACCCCCCCCCCACATATCCTCAGAGCACTGAGAGTAGAGCTGCTGAAGAAGACCCAATAGGCATGTTCTCCCACCGTAGAGAACGGCTGGAATTGGGGAGGGGGACTGTCCTACCCCTTTTTGGTTACCCTCAAGACTCTGACAGAATGTCAGTTGGGACAGTCCAAGCTGGTGAGTTTTCACAGTCATAAGAATGGCTTGAAAGGGGAGACTGATTTACTCCTTGCCAGTCATTCTTGGTTCCCTGAGATCAACCCTGCTGGGATTACCTTCCCTGAGACCACCCTTCCTTTAGGTTTTTGTGTAGAGATTTCTGCGGCCATGCAGACACTGCTTCTCAAGTAGCAACTGAGAGGAGGTTTTTTGTTTCTTACTGAAAACCTGAGGGGGTTCCTCCAGTTTTGTAAGGGACCCCCCCCCCATCTGTACATGGCACTGTTGTGGAGATTGTTTGATCCACACTCTGGTGCTGTGTTCCAAATTTAGATACATAGGTAAGACATAAGGTGCTCTCACACATGCTGAATAATGCACATTCAAACCACTTCCCATCCACTTTGCAACCAGATTTTACTGCATAAAATGGCAAAAGTGCATTATTCGGTGTGTCTGAAAGCGCTTGTACTGTTCAATGTGATGTGCACACATATGCACATGATGCTACAGCTGAGTGTGTCTGCTTCAAAACTGGGAAGCAATTAATACTGGATGGGACCAACGTTATCATGGAGCCCTGGCACGTCAGTTTGCATGGCAAGATTTGCTTTTGGCCCTGAAGGAAAGATTAACCATCGAAGACATAGGAAGTGGCCTCATTCTGCTATAGAGAGTATGAGATGTACACACACAAACACACACTCAAGAAAAGAAACAGACACAAAAACGTCTAGTAGATAAATTGTTAGATTTGAGTACAGCCGCATCTTAAGAGACCAACCAGCGGATAATTTGTGCCTGATCCCTCTGAGAGCAAGAAAACAACTTACTCTTAAGCAGAGATGTAACACTGTCTCTTCTTTGTAAATGCTTGACCAAGTATTGATAACTTCAGGTAGAAAAGACTTGATGATATAAAGATGGCCCGACTTCAAAATGTCATACTCTGACCAGGTGCAGACCACTTTGAGGGCTCGTCGCAAACCTCCTCCCATCTCCTCCTTGCTTAGGAATTCAATCTTGGCACAAAGACCCAGTTGAGACCAGGAAGACATGCTATTGTTCAAGATGTTGGGAGAACTTTCTTCAAGGCGATACACAGTGACTGGTTCTCCTGTAATGGCAGAGGACGTAAATGTTAGATGCAGTTACCTGAAGGTGGGAAGGGCGTGTAGTACATGATTCAATAATTAGTAAAGGTAAAGGTAAAGGTTCCCTTGCTCGAAAGCCAGTCAAATCCGACTCTAGGGTTGCGGTGCTCATCTCCGTTTCCAAGCCGAAGAGCCAGCGCTGTCCGAAGACGTTTCCGTGGTCATGTGGCTGGCATGACTAAACACCAAGGTGCACGGAACGCTGTTACCTTCCCATCGGAGTGGTACCTATTTATCTACTTGCAATTTCTTGCTTTCGAACTGCTGGGTTGGCAGGAGCTGGAACTAGAGACGGGAGCTCACTCCGTCATGCGGCACCCGGGTCTCGAACTGCTGAACTACTGACCTTCCACAGCCTGTAGTTCAGCGTCTTAACCACTTGAGTCACCGCAGCTCCTGATTCAATAATTAGAGCTGTCAAAATGTAGTTCTCTACCCTAGACATCATACCAGAGACCATTTTGTTAATGGACACTTTCTTTGCAACTGATATAAAATACTTTCAGAGTACATTGTCATCAGGGTGTTTCAGGGCAGTTATGCTCGAGCATGTGAGACTCTCGAAGAAGACATGAGGTGAAAGAAACCATTTCCAGTGGATCTTTTCACAATATATTCCTGGTATTCTCTGGCAACCCACAGACTATTTTTAGAAGCTGTGAAGAACAAGTCTTTCATGTTTGGCTTCCACAGTCAAGGAAATAATCTTCCCGGCCTTTGAAAGCCAGTGCTTACATTTGGCCTTCTTACCTCTTGGAGGCACAGGGGTAAATGGTATGCTCTGTGACAACCTCATCAGATTATTTCTTTCAACAGCTGTAGAGAGGAGAAAAAATGTTACAGAGCCCTGGGTTAGTAAAGTGGCTACCATAACAAGGTGGATCTGGCAGGATCCCTGGTTCAAATCTAGTTTCTGTAATAAACCTATTATGTGGCCCTAGGCGAGCTGCTCTCCTTGTTGCTCATAATAATACTGGCCTATATTTCAAGGCTGTTGTCAAAGTTGCAACAAGACAATGTATGTGAAACACTTAAAAGTGCTATGTTATTGCAGTCATTATTCTTGCTTTGTTGTTGTTGTTCAGTCGCACAGTTGAGTCCAACTCTTCGCGACCCCATGGACCAGATCACGCCAGGCCTTCCTGTCTTCTGCCGTCCTCTGAAGTTTGCTTGATTTCATGTTTGTTGCATCTATGACACTGTCTAACCATCTCATCCTTTGCCGTCCCCGTCTTCTTTGACCTTCAATCTTTCCCAGCATCAGGGTCTTCTCCAGTGAGTGCTCCCTTCTCATTTGGTGGCCAAAGTATTTGAGCTTCAGTTTCATTATCTGGCCTTCCAGGGAACAGTCAGGGTTGATTTCTTTTAGGATTGACTGATTTGATCTTCTTGCAGTCCAAGGGACTCTCAAGAGTCTTCTCCAGCTACTTTACAGAAATGTGCTACTTCCACTTATTATCATGACTTGTAGCTTCTTAAGGATACTGACCTGAGTAGTAGTAGGTGGTATCCATGATGGGCTTGAAAGGGGAAGCAATACCTAAAAGAAGATCAAGGTGCTATGATATATTTACATACACTTTATGATTACATTCATAAGATGTATTCCTTTTTAGAAAAATGATATAGTATGTCTGAAAAAACAGCATTCTGTGTTTACCATAACAAATACATCCTGGGATTACATACATCAATGGCTGGTTCCCCTCTTCCCCAAGTAGTTTATGAGAAAATAGTCCCCCTAACTAGTGGATGAGAAAATAGTTGTCTAGTGAAATTTTCAAAGCACAGGAAGGGAGCACAAGTACTGATGAAATCAATTGGATGAATGCTTTAATGATTACAAGTTTAACAATGAACTACCCTATCAAAATACATAGCAAAAAACCTCCAAGAACCACCAAGCACTGAATGACTTCACAGAAATGTAACAAGTGTAGAGTAATATTAACCACTGTCACCTTAATACGAAACTGCTTACCATTCAGTGCATCTTCTTCAGAAGACCTGCCAGTGACAGAAATTTCAAATATTATTTGTAATCAAAAACTAGCAGACTCTAATTTTTAAGATCTATTTTTGTGCTCTCTCACAATTTGTGTGTGTTAACAAAAGAATTCTAGAGTTACCAATGTGGTAATCTTAAACACAGTAAAAAGTGGCAGAATGGTCTGAACAAGCACGGCCAGTTGCAGTATCAAGGAGTCTTACTTACATCTGATTGCTGTATGAAGGTCGGCCTTGTACCCAGTCCTGTAAGAGAAAAAACCCTGAAGCTTTACATCTCTGTAGCCCACTGCCTAATTGCTGGGTTTAGAACTACAGTGCCACCACTTCGCAGAAGCTTCGTAGGACTGTGTTAAGGATTCAAGTATTTACCCTCAAGTTGTTTTCAACATTACTCTGCTAATCAAAAGAAATCATTTGTGTTGCTCACCCAAAGTGACTGTAGAGACCAAGAAGTATCTCAACATAACCATTTCCCCAATCCTAAGCAAGGGTGTGAGTTAACAGTCCTTAAAACTACAAGCATCATATAGTCTGTTAAGATTCCAGGTCCTAATCCTAAACTACTGCAAGTCATGGGAACTGCCCACCTGAACGGTTTCCTGAATGAAATGCAGAGAGGGAAGTAGGCAATCACAGGCTCAACACAGACTGCCTGTGGGGTAACCCCCCAACATCATTCCATTAGCATGCAAAACCATAAAGAGGAGGTGCAAACTGCTGCCGTGCAAAATCTCTCCATAACTACACAATGCAATTTGCTTAGAACCACACTGGACATCAATTAGGCAATAAGAAATAGAGAGACAAGATGTAGTCAACAAATGCTTCAGAGCAGGGCTATTTTTGGGCAGGAACGCACAGGAACGGAGTTCCGGCTGGCTTCCGAGTTGGCCACGCCCACTACAACCAAAACCTCTGTGTGCGCGGCTACAAAGGGAAGGCCTGGAGAGCAGACCCCCCCCAGCGATTCTGGCAGGCGGGCCAAGGGGGCCCAGGAAGGATCGGGGAGGCATTTAAATGACTCCCCGTGTCTTCCCTGGCCTGTCCAAAGGCCAGCTTGCCTGGGCTCCCCTGGGGTGGGGTGCCCTGGCAAGCCAAGGGAAGGCATGGGGTGTGGCCTAATATGCTAATGAGTTTCTGCTGTTGGGTGTGGCCTATTATGCTAATGAGTTCCTGCTGGGCTTTTTCTACAAAAAAAGCCCTGCTTCAGAGGAATTTCAAGATTAACAAGAGAGACGTGCCACTTAGAAGATGGCCCTCGCTGCAGGGCAACTTATTTATACACAGGTACAGCACACAAAACAATGTGCCTCCATCTACTGCTTTCTTCCCAATACCACTGCAATTCAACTTTGCAGGTACTGGATTCCACCCTGAACACGCAAGAGAAGCACCGCAGAAGTATTATTACACGTTCCTCACCGTGAGTAAGGCTGCCTTAGAATCTGCCTGAGGAGACTCTTCAACGGATGTCCTTCTGCTCTTACTGTGCACTGGGAAATCGAATTCAGAATTAGGGTTGCTATGCAATTAAAGATTTTTTAAAAACTGATGAATCTGCTTTTCAGTAGATCAATTTCATTTGAATAAATCTGCATGTTACCAGTGCTCCAGTATATACTGAAGAAAGTGTCAGACAACTTAACAGTTTAATTTAAAAATAAAGCTGAGATCCAAAGAACTGTGGACATTTTCACTTGAGACATCTCTCCCCATGCCTCCTGGCAAACCTGTTCTCAAACTGATGGGAGCTTCAGGAAGAGAGAAACAATGGCTCAGATAAGCATGGCTGGCTAATGTTGGAAAGAGAATGCAGCCTCTTTAGTTAAAGCATTAATGAAAGCCACCCACCAACCTATTAGCTATACATAAATGACATAGTCCCCAGGCTAAATGGCCCCAATTTGTTTCACCTACAATAGGTCAGCAGAAAACATAATACTGTTTTACGCAGACGATACGGTTTTATTTTCCCTAACTAGGAATGGTTTAAAGAGACTTCTGGACAAACATATTAGTCAACCCCCCCCCTTTAAACACACACACACAGGGACTTTGCTTAGAGTTTAAAAAAAACTATTATTGCCGGCTATTTTAAAGGTTTTTTAAAATATTTCAAATTATATTGGTTTTATTGTTATCTGTCAGGTATAATATTCTGGGAGAAAGGTGTGTGTCAATGTTCCCTCTAAGCTGTGGAGTCTTGTGAGCAAAAATTCTACTTTGTGAGCTACCGGCATTAAAGTTGTGAGCGATTTGGCTACTGCATACATTAGTCTGCTCTGGAGCCATCCTTCTTCCTGAGCTGAGACAAAAATGTGTGAGCTGGAGGCTAAGAAACTGTGAGCTAGCTCACACTAACTCAGCTTAGAGGGAACACTGGTGTGTGTGCACATATATACGTGTGTGTGTGTGTGATATATATATCTTAATTTAAAAATCAATAGATCTTAGTTGCTAAGTCTTGAGTAAACCTCCCAGCACTATACATAATTCAATGTGCATTCCAGATAAAGCATGTTGGTTAAGACGCTGAACTACAGACCGAAAGGTCGGTAGTTCAGTTGTTCAAGACCCGAGTGTTGCAAGACGGAGTGAGCTCCTGTCTCTGGTCCCAGCTCCTGCCAACCTAGCAGTTCGAAAGCAAGAAATTGCAAGTAGATAAATAGGTACCACTTAAGTGGGAAGGTAACAGCATTCTGTGAGCCTTGGTGTTTAGTCATGCCAGCCACATGACCACAGAAACGACTTCGGCTTGGAAACGGAGATGAGCATCGCATCCCTAGAGTCGACTGGCTTTTGAGCAAGGGAAACCTTTACCTTTACCTTACAGTTTTATTATAGTGACCTAGAGCTCAAAGATTCCTGCAGAGCAAGGTATCATTCTAAGGAATGAAGAGGACAGGATGCAGGATAAACATAGCACTGTACTGAGGAGGAAAAATATTTCAAGAAAAAAAGATGGCTTTACCCCTACTTTAAAATTTTTTAAAAACACAATATTCATAAGTACACGTGACACAGAAAGAGACGGCATTTCTGCCCAAGAATTACTGTTAATAAAATCCAGAGATTAAAAACTAAAAGAGCTCTTGCAAATACTCACGTTGCTCTGAACGGCCGGTTATCAAGCTTCGATGGTATTCGGTGAAGCCACCACATGAACTAACCTGTCTCAGACTGCCTTCGGTGCCGCTGCTGCCCTGCATGTCAAACAGACAAAAACATTGTCAGCAATCATTCTATTTAAGTATTCAAGAGAGATTCTTTTCAGAAGCGGCATGTGAACCCTGCCACCGCTGCTCAAGGAAACGGTGCAGGAGAATCCCAAATGTCATGGCTCTACCTGGTGCCTTGTTGTTGTCCCCATGCCTTCCAAAATCGCTTTTCTGAAATCCTCCTGTTGCTCCTATAAAAAAGTGCAGTTAAGGGCTTCTCACATTTTATTTTTTAATTGAAATGAAGTTAAAAATTTGTGCCATTTGTGACTGACAAATTTTAAAAATGCAAAATGACTTTTCCCACAAGCGAGAGGCACGGGATTAGGGGTCCCACCGCCTGGCACCTGTGGGGAGTGGGTGGGGCCAGATGGGGTTTTTGGTATAAATCTCTCTCTGCCAGGGGGAGGGACCTCTTCAAGCACTTCATGCAATCAAGCCCTGATTGACAAAAAGCTTATGCCACAATAAATCTGTTAGTCTTTATAGGTGCCATAAAAATTATTTGTTATTTTGGCTACTATAGATTATCACAACTATCTTGCTGGAATATGCCATTAATTATGCTGCAAGTCAGCTTGAAAGCGATGGCTGAAAGGCCTGACGTTGCACAGCTGTATATATTATAACTATGCATGAAGCCCACTGAATAAGTCTCCGAACTTACTGAACTCGCAGCTCACGCCCTTTGCCACCATGCTAATTCAACTCCAGCTCATACTGCTTAGTGAAGACTACTGGAACACTGCCACAACACAGTAATTAACCTGCACAAGATGTTGGCTGGTGGAGTGTTGTCTGATCCTTAGCAGTGCAAGAAGGAGTCCACAAAGAGCTTCAGGCCTGGTCTCACAACCTGCTCTGCCCCATCCCAGCTGCTTTGCCTGCCATTAGCTAACTAAAGACTTTCTAATTATTGGCAAAGCAGAACTGGCTTAATATGTTTTTTTTAAGTTTTTTATTTTTCATAACACACAAACAAACATACATACAAACACAAACGGGGGCATTTCATTCAATGCACAAATTACATCTGTTACAAATTCACCTGCCTATTTGTTATAGCTTATATATTTCACCTTAGATTATTAAAATATTAGTTAGAATTCTGAATATTTTAGCAGATTAATACTATATATGTCCTCAGCAAGTTTTAATACGTCATAATTTCATAATATGTTGTCAAAGGCTTACCTTACAACCAAAGAACTGGCTTACCTCAATTGTATCATTTTTTTCTTTGTTCTTAAACTCGGTGTCTTTAAATCTCTGTAATTCCATGCTGTCTCTGTGACCTTTGGTATGTTGCCATGTTAAAAAAAATACAGATTTTAGAGAGAAACACCTAAATATTTAATTCCCAATGAATGCTGTTGGGACTTGAAAACACAGAGAAAACGACTACAAAAGAAATATATTTAGAGTCAGTTATGGTAGATTAGATTTAAGAACTATTGCTTTTCCCACATAAACATGTGCAGTGTCCTGAAGCCAAACCACCCACTGAGTAAAACTGGATGGGTGAAAAAACGCAAACTTCACAGCACCAAATATGTATATTTAACTTGCGGCATGGATACTATAATTTTAACTAGCTAGTAGAAAAAGCACAGTTCGATATGACAGCATTTTAAAATATAATCTTCACCCCTGTATACGTGTAAAACAAATTTCTGAGTTACATGGCATACAGGATCTGCACCAAGGTTCCCTCTAAGCTGCGGAGTCCTGTGAGCAGAAACCCTACTTTGTGAGCAACCGGCATTAAAGTGGTGAGCCGGCGATTTGGCTGCTGCAGAAATTAGTTTGCTCTGGAGCCATCCTTCCTGAGCTAAGGTAAAAAGCTGTGAGCCAGCTCACCCTAACTCAGCTTAGAGGGAACACTGATCTGCACACTCTCTCTCTCTCTCTCTCTCTGCCACAACAATCCACCACAAAATACATAAGCCTCAGATTTATAGAGATATATGCTGTGGGAATTGGGATTCTGCTGGTCTGCCATGCTAAAACTCCCCACCACCACCTGTCCCTATTTTTTATTTGCACGCTGGATGTCCTATTTGTATCAGAGCACAGAGCCCAAAGATAGTCTCTGCCCAGAGTGAAGAACCTATACACCATGTGACCGTGCAGTTGTGCCGGGCCCTACACAAGCATTAAATCCAACATGCAAATGGTGAGTGGGGCGAAGACACCAAGGCAATTCGCTAAGCCAGCATGATCCTCTGCTGTGTGTACATCTCAAACTTCAAAACATGCTGCTTTTGCTTCCCTAAACCCAACATTCCAATTAGGCCAAAGGATGAAGATTATATTATAAAACAAGAGATTGTATCCCGACACCAAATCACTTCTTCCATGAGAAGGTAGTTTATTCATCTCTGGTTAGTGACCCTGAATTCTTTGCTTTGAAAGATTAAAAGCAGATTTACAATAGATTACTATTATCACTGTTATCACAGTTAAAACTGACAAATACTGGAGGGGGGAAATACTAGTTGTAACCACAATGCAAATATATGTGCATTTGTTTATGGAGGACCATTTAACAAGCAGCTAAAAGCCTGGTAAAGGCCCGTGCACAGTGGGGGAGACGGGGACTGTCCTCATGAGGTACCCCACATGCTAAATATTACACCCAAATGTTACAGACAGTAGAGGGGATGTGTTTCCAAAGTCAGCTGCTAGAGTAGGATTCCTCTGAATTACAAACACTGACCTGCAGATTTTATGATTAAGATCTCTTTGTTCTTCAATAACCAAGCCCGAAAAAAAAAATCATCCATTGAGACAGATTGATAAAAGAAATTACACTTTAAATAAAGAAGAAACCATTCATATAGTTTGAAGGAACTGAAGGGTTAAAAAGCACCACAGTACCACAAGGCCACCTGCAGCCAGAATCCACCCAAGGTACCACACAACTCTTGATAAATCAAACCTTGCAATTTAGATTTGATCCACAGTTTCTGGACTCGTGTAAAGGTACTGGAACATAAAGCTTGGCTCTTTCGTGCGGTTTCTTGAGTGCTGCAAAGGAGTCCTTCAACACTCAATGTCCCTTTCAGATGTTTACTTGTCCCACTCCAGTCCTCATTAGTGGAAGACCACTGTAACTTATTTTTGGCATTATTCTTCATTGTGTCGGAAGAGAGCTGGGGATTCCATTGGTCTGTGCAGCCATCCGCAACACCATCACTTTCATTATCAACAAAAGCATGGTTAATGTATCCCTCTACTCCAACGCAAGCTTGGGAGGTGGCAGCAAGACATAGAGAGGGCGAAGCAGGACAACTAGAGCAACCGACGGCAACTTTAGGAAGTTCATGCTTGAGTCGGCTATACTTACCAACAAATGCACCAAATTCAACAGTGTTATCTGTGTCGGCGGCCTTCTCCTCATCCTTTGCTGCAGTTTCTAACTGGGCTTTGCAACTGGGTCGAGAAGGAGCACTAACAAAAAATTTAGCTGTTGGGGACGTTAGATGTGGCATGCTTTTTGAGGAACTGCCTGCCTTTTTGTTTTTATTACTGCTCTTCGTTAAGTCTGTACCCTGTATTCTTTGACGAAGTTCTGGAGGAGAAAGAGCTCTTGGGATTAAGGCACTGCCAGAGGAACCCGCCTCTGGAAAGTTGAGTTCATTCCTGTTGGGGAAATCAGTCATCTTATGTCCAGAATCTTTTTCATCTTGCATAGAAATGTTGCACAGCACAGCATTATTACTTTCAAGGACTCCTTGGGGGGAAGAGGAACCAAACACATTGCCAATACTGTGCTTTCTCCACATGGAAGATCTTAGGGGACCATCCTCAATGAGGTTCTGTGCCAAATGTTTAGAAATACTCAATTCACGTGTAATTTCATTATGGACCTTGCTAGCTTCTGATGCCTTCTGTGCTGTCAGTGTTTTCAAAGTGTCCACTGTAAGTGCCGAAAGGTCTTGTAAGTGGCCGATCTGAGTATCTAGGGAGTGCAATGAACGTTTGATATAGTTGACTCGGTCACCAACTTCCTTGATCTGAATGCACATGTGCTCAACCCTGGAAGGGGGGGGGAAGAAAGATGCACCATTTAAAAAAGAAAAGGTAGAGAAAGTTAGGCTTGCTTTGACTGTGTGCTGGTAATGCAACCACGGCATGCCACAGGCAGACTGCAAGCCACAAGAAATAATTAAATGGTCCTGTGATCTTAAAAGCATCCAGTAATGGAGAGGAGTGCCTGCCATGGCATTTCTTCCCTTTGCTGTTGCCTTCTTCCAATCAGACTTTGATCTGGATAGGAATAAATCACCGATTCACTCTTAGCGCAGGACCCGGGAGAATTACTTGTCCTGGGAGACAATTCGCTGCATGAATAACTACTTTGGAGTGCCTTCCTCCTAACCTTGAGGCATTCTCAGAATGGAGATCCAGGCAGAGACACAAGGAGGCACTCTTCTAAGGCTAGGTGATGCCGCTCTCCATAAGCATCCCTCCAGTTATGTCTCCGGTGTCAGAAGTTTGGAAAACATGGGTGTACATTTTTCTCCAAACATCCTAGCTCCTCTTTTCAACAGCAGGACCCAAAATGACTTACAATGGTAAGTCACACTAAAACCAGAGGGAACACACACTTTATTTCCCCAGGACATCTCAACATGTCCTGATTCAGATTCCCTGGGATATATCAACATGCCCCAATTCCATGCAGATGCAAGGGCTGTGATGCACATACAGAGCTTCCCTGCCCAGATAAGTGCTTATCTAACTCTACAGAGTTTTGAATATGTGGGGCTGTACATACACTAATCTAGATGAGGAAATCTGGCTAATGCAAATTTAAAAGAAACCTTGTGACTGCCAAGATAAATGCAATCCTTCCACCACAGACCGGTGGCCTGGCTTTTGGAAGCTGGGGCAGGGACACAGGCCTACACAACTTGGGAATGCTGCCCATCAGAAGTTTAGCAGTTTTGCCGGCTGCTTTAGCTCCTGAACCGGTAATGATTTTCAAGTGCCTGGCAGGCTGTTATACAGTGCTTTGGTTTGACAGCCTGCACGGTTATGAGGCCAGTTTGTTGCAGCTGTCAAAGGGAATTTTGTGACACCTTAAAGGGTAACAGATTTAGAAGACCTAAGATTCTGTAGGCCAGATCTCACTTTGCCAGCTGAGGATAACATGCCAAACTCACTCACACACAAAAACAAAGGAAACAGTGAGGCCAAAAGGCCACGAAATGCAGGAGATCTGTCTCTCACATTTCTTCGCAAAGCATATAATGCATTACAAAGTAAAAACAGAATGACAATATAACTCTTAAATAGGAGGGCAGCATGCATTTCTCTCTCAATACAGGGGTCCAATTACTGAATATTAATAAAAAAAAGGATGACCAGGGGTTTTTTGTGGGTGTATCATCAAGAAACAGAGGGGGTTGTCTTACATTGGCATATAAGTTACAAGTATATAAAGTAATAAAAACTTTTTTTGTATGCCAAGTTGGCAGAAAGGACCGTCAAGTTGTCGCCAACTTAAGGAGACCCTGTAGGGCTTTTAAGGCAAGAGACAAACAGAGGTGGCTTGCCATGGCCTGCCTCTGTGCAGCGACTCTGGACTTCCTTGGAGGTCTTCCATCCACGTACTAACGAGGGTCGATGCTGCTTAGCTCCCAAGACCTGACGGGGCCATCCAGGACAGGACCAAATCACTCCTCTAGAAGTAGGAAATTTTAGCAGACGAGGACACTCAAAAATCTGACCTCCAAACAGGATACAGACCTACCGTGTTTCCCCGAAAATAAGACAGTGTCTTATATTAATTTTTGCTCCCAAAGATGCACTAGGTCTTATTTTCAGGGGATGTCTTATTAAGAAGAATACGGTACACTCCGTCAGGGCAGAGCGAGCAGCAGGCGGCAGCTTGTCCTGGCGGCGGCACGGGCTCTCTGATTAAAAGAGACCTCGCACTTCCTGTCTGCTCCGGGGGGCCTTATTATCGGGGAGGTCTTATTTTGGAGGGATGCCTTATATTTCAGCGAGAGGCAAAACTGTAAGTAGGTCTTATTTTCGGGGGATGTCTTACTTTTGGGGAAACATGATACTATTACTCTACCAGAACAGTCCTATGCAGAGTTACTTCAAGCTAAGCCCGATGATAACTGACCATACATATTTACATCTGTCTGAGAAGTGCAAGAGTTATTCAGTTAAAAGCTTCAATCACTCCTGAATACCTGAAAAGGAATTGGTGCACTTCTTAAAAGGTGGCTACGGCTTTCATACCAAACAAGGTACAATATTTTAAAATTGAGAAGAGCAGCAAACACACCAGAAGATCACACCAGAAGATAGCGATAGAAAAGTGGGTGGATGTGAACAAGATGCAATTTAACAAAGATAAGTGCTGAGTTCTACATCTGGGTAACAAAAATGAGGAACACACATAATGGATGGGGGATACACTTCTGGGCAACAGTGTGTGTGAACAAAATCTTGGGGTACAGGTGGACCATAAGTAAACTATGAGTAGCCAGTGTAATGCAGTGACAAAAAAGGCTAATGCGATCTTGGGGTGCATCAGCAGAGACATAACATCCAAACCACGAGAGGTCATAGTCCCGCTGTACACTGCATTGGTCAGGCCACACCTAGAGTATTGTGTGCAGTTCTGGAGGTCTAACTTCAAAAAGGATGTGGACAGAATGGAGCGGGTGCAGAGGACAGCAACGAGGATGATCAGGGGCCTGGAGACCAAGCCCTATGAGGAAAGGTTGAGGGACTTGGGAATGTTCAGTCTGGAGAAGAGGAGGGTGGGGGGGGGGGGAGAATGACTGCTTTCTTTAAGTATATGAAGGGCTGTTACTTAGAGGAGGGCAGGGAACTGTTCCTGTTGGCAGCAGAGGATAGAATTTGCAGTAATGGGTTTAAATTAAGGGTGGGAAGGTACCGACTGGATATTAGGAAAAACTTTTTTACAGTATGAGTTGTGCAACAGTGGCATCAGCTGCCTAAGGAGGTGGTGAGCTCCCCCTCCTTGGCAGTCTTTAAGCAGGGGCTGGACGAACACTTGTCAGGGATGCTCTAGGCTGATCCTGCATTGAGCAGGGAGTTGGACTAGATGGCCTTTATGGCCCCTTTCAATGTTCCCTCTAAGCTGTGGAATCTTGTGAGCAAAAATTCTACTTTGTGAGCTACGGGCCTTAAAGTTGTGAGCGAGCGATTTGGGGACTGCATAAATCAGTTTGCTTGGGAGCTGTCCTTCCTGAGCTAAGACAAAAATCTGTGAGCTGGAGGCTAAAAAACTGTGAGCTGGCTCACACTAACTCAGCTTAGAGGGAACACTGCTTCCAACTCTGTGATTGTGTGATTCTATGTTTATTCATTAAAGTTTTATACCGTTCAGAAGTTACTCTAATTCTTTCTTCACTACCGGAATGGAACTTGTCATCTTTTTCATTGAAATACATCTCAACACATAGTTCTTCAAAATCATGCAGTTTCTTCTGATCCTCTTCTGTTAAAAACAATTCTGGAGAACAAGAGAAAGGGGAAAAAACAGCTTTAAGAACAGGCAAATGAATATAGAAAAGCATGGGATAAAGGAATAGATGCGATCATGTAAGTAGCCTATCCAAACATAATTAATCCAAACTTATAAGTGAAACAAACAAAAAAGTGGCAACACTGCCATTTACGTATAAATTTGTGTATTTTATTCATATATATACTCCCCAAAATAGCACTCACACAATGGTAAAAACAGGGGACTCAAGTACTGACTATATACTGATGTTTACCAGTATCCCCAACCTCCACAAACCAAGTTCACCACCAAATCCCACCTGACAGTAAAAACAGCTCCCATTATAATTAAGAAATTGGGCTGAGAATACAATTTCAGCAATACAATTTCAACTGCAGAGTCCTTTAAGGAATTTTTTGCTCACATCCCCACCAGTGTTTCCTCTAAGCTGAGTTAGTGAGAGCTAGCTTACAGTTTTTAAGCCTCTGGCTCATGCATTTTTTGTCTTAGCTTAGGAAGGATGGCACCAGAGCAAACTAACTTATACAGTAGCCAAATCACCTGCTCACAACTTTAACACCAGTAGCTCACAAAGTAGAATTTTTGCTCACAAGACTCCACAGCTTAGAGGGAGCATTGATCCCCACTGCATATCTCCACATCCTGTGTTTTCAGCTCCCTCTGGTCAAGTCATTAAATGAAACTGATAATTAAAAAAACTAATTAAAAAAAAAGGCTCCATGTCCTGGTTCTGGAACAGCAGAAGACATTACTAGAAGTATACCAACTGAGATTTGGATATGAGTTCAGATTCCTAGGTTTTAAAATTAAATTGTGCACACATTAACAAGACTGGATAGAACCAGTTTCTTTACACACACACACACACACACACACACACACACACACACACACACACACACAAATCCCTCATTTGACATTATATAAAAGAAGAACAACACTGTATATTCTCTGCTGTGTTCTTACTTGGTCCATCTGAAGTTTTATCTGTCTTTCTTCGCTTGCATATGCAACAGCACAGGGAAGCCATATGACTAAGAATGATAAGAGGCGGGGGCAGGACAGGTTTCTCATGATAAGCCATAATGAAATGATAACGCTGGTATTTCCATACAATGTTGGAAATTGCTTTCACTTGCAAATATACATTGCTAAAGCAAGAACAAAAAAACAAAGAAGTAAATGTCTTAGTGCAATACTCCAGACACTTGCATTCAGATCTATACATTAGTAGAAAATATTACAATATCAGAACATTAGTAGCAAAGTTATTGCAAGCTAGAACAAATCACCAAGCTAGCCATCTTTTCAAATGTCTACATAGTAAACAAACTGATTTATATACGTACTTGAAAAAGGCAATGAGGAGATTGACCATAATTATGTACTGGACAAAGAGATAGACTGATTGAAGAAACGGAGTGAGCCAGGATCCCATCACACAAAGGTCTTTAAGATCAGATTCAGAATTGTTTGCACACACTAGAACAACAACAAACAGAAATGATTAGAAAGTTCTGCAGTCGTATCTAGCAGATATAGAAACAAAGATCTTGTAAACATAACCAATAATATACTGCTTCCAGTAACTATTTAACGTATGCCCAAGAAGTACTCACTGCATAGCCATAATACTTTAAACTAAAAAATTAGGAGCAACAGCTAGAGGGGTAGGCAGGTAAATGTGGGTGTTTGTATTAAAGTAATTCATCTCCAAACTCAACCAATAAGAAATTAGCCTGTATTGGGTAACATAAGAACTGCATGTCAGATTTTGAACAAATATGTCTAAACAGCTTCTTTTCAGGAAAAAAACCCCATTATATCAGAATTTTTAAAAATACATGTATATAAAGTATCCTTTTAAAATAATAACCTGGCTTTAAATAATATCGAAACGCAACACAAAATACTGAAAACGATACTCATGACTAGTTAAAACTGTCTAAACCAAACATTAAGTTCACCAACTCCTACAATGAGGGGCCAACTTGAGCTATAGAATGAATGTTGGAACTAAGGTGCAGTGGGAATAGAATCTGGAAGACTCAGGTTTCAGTCACCACTCTGCCATGAAAGGACGCGTGCTAGGTGATCTTGGGCCAGCCAGACCCTCTCAGCCTAACCTAACTCAGTGTTGCTGTGAGGCTAAAATGGAGGACAGGAGAATGATATAAACCAGTTTGAGTCCCTATAAGAGAAGAAGGTGGGGTATAAATGGGAGGAAATAAATAACTGGTCTTTTGGGAAGAAGCAATTCTCCCTTTGGTAAAGAGGGGCCCCCACACAAACACTTGGTGAGTTTACAGGATAGGCCCGGAGAAATTTGTAGAAGCTACCAATCTGTCATGAGGCTGATTCTGGAAGGATATATGCCTGGTAATTCACAAAGAACCACAATAAATGCTCCATGACAGAAAGAGGTGGACCACCTCGGCCTCCCTAAGGACATTCCACAAGCATTAGAAGACACAAGATTTTCATTAAACGCAATAACATTCAAAAGGAATGTTATGTACTGGGGTTTATAGATACCATGCATGAAATAATTGTAACCTAGAAGCAAGGAAGAACAGCAGCAGCTCAGGAACATGTACAGTCAAGCAGGGGGAATATTGTACACATATTATAACCCCCCGCCTCCATGAAAGGCTGACATCCCCTTCCATCAGCCCACCTCAGCAACATTTCAAACAAGATAGACTCCAGTTCTAGGAAATTTCCTCTTACCATCTATTTCATACGCATAAACTTCACCAAAGATCATCCAGTAGGGTTGAAACACAATATCTTTTGCCAGAACCCAGGATGGTTCTTCATTAGGGTAAAGTATTGCCTTCCTGGGGACTCCAAAACTGAGCAGGACAACAGCCATGATCACTACAATGTAAAACATGTTGGCCACCTATTAAAATACAGAGGCAGAGTCAAAGAAGCTGAAATAATTTCTTAAAAGTAATGAAAATACTTCCTTCTAAAATGCTACTCATTTTAACTGGCTTGCTCAAGCAATTAACTCAATTTTTTCTGACATGAAATCCTTTTGGACATCAGAACACAAAAGGGTTTACTATGCAGTAACAGCTGTGATTCAGCAGCTAAGTATCTCTACCCATGCTTTCCCACTGTGGAACAAGTAATACTCCCAGGACTTTGAACTGAGGACCTGTTTCATATATGAGTCAAGGAATAATTTTATTACAGTACATAATTTTATTTTTAACTTCCTAATTTGAGCTATCACTTTGATGTCTGAAGCTAATTTATGCACACATGCAAAAACATCACTGGGCCGAATTCACTCTGAAATGGAGAAAAACTTCAGAGTTAAATATCTGCGCTATGTTCATTCGTGTCAATGGAGCCTGAGCGTCTGTGGGGGCCCACTGTGATTTCTGCTATTTTTACAAGCACATAACACATATGTACACAGCAACAGTAGCCCTATGTAAGAGTTTGTCTGGGCAGGCACCAGTATGGAGACGACACTCAGCTCAGTCCCCAGTCCCGGGGAGGATGCAGAAACCCTTAACTGTTGCCTGGAGGCAGTTTCAGGATGGATGCCGGCTAATAAACTGAAGCTTCGTCCCAATAAGACAGAAGGGTGGAAGGTCTGACTCAGGATTTAAGATGTCACCTGTTCTGGATGGGGTCGCCCTCCTCTTAAAAGAGCACTTTTGGAGTCGGGGGGGGGGGCACTCCTGGACCTACTGCTGCGTAAGCAGGTGGCAGCTGTGGCCAGGAATTCCTCTCACTAGGTTCAGCTGGTAAGCCATCTGAAGACTTTCTTGGGAAGAAAAGATCTCTTCATTGTGCTGCACACCAGCGTAGCCTCTAGATTAAATTACTGCAATGTACTCTGTGTGGGGCTACCACTGAACATTGTTTCAGAAACTTAACTGGTACAGAATGCTGCAGTTAGCTTGTTGACCAGAGCAGTTGGTAGGGATCGCATCACTCCAGTCTACACTGGCTCCCAATATGTTTCTGGGCCCAATTCAGGGTGCTGATGGTTAAAGCTCTATATGGCTTGGAACCAGCATACCTGAAGGACCACTCACCCCCCGTATGAACCTACTCAACCACTGTGGTCATCTTCCAAGGCCCTGCTTTGGGTGCCCCACTCTCTTGGATTAGGTGTGTGGCAACCCAAGAGACGGTCTTCTCGGTTGTGGCACCAGACTATGGAACTCTCTCCCCAGGGACATTAGTCTGTCCCCTTCCATTGCAGTCTTCCACCCATGGGTGAACACTTTTTTGTTTAATTTCCCTCAGCTAGCCCTCTCTTTTGATTAGTCTTATGTGCTTTTAAATAAGCATTTTCATTTTGCTTTTAACTGTTATTATGATGCATTTTTATGTTTTGTTTTAACTGTTAGCTGCCTTGGTGGTCCTGACTGGGCAGAAAGGCAAGATAGAAGAGGAAGAGAAGAAGAGATTGGATTTATACCCCGCCCTTCATTCAGAGTCGCAGAGCGGCTTACAATCTCCTTTCCCTTCTCCTCCCCACATCAGTCACCCTGTGAGGTAGGTGGGGCTGAGAGAGCTCTTTCGAGAACTGCTCTTTCAAGAACAGCTCTGACAGAACTATGACTTGCCTGAGGTCATCCGGCAGCTGCAAGGGGAGGAATGGGGAATCAAACCTGGTTCTCTCAGATTAGAATCCGTGCACTTAACCACTACACCAAACTGGCTTTATTTGTAAATAAAATTCATTTGTAATGTACACACAGTTGGGAACCTGGACTGTCTTATCCTCCCTGCAGATACCTGTGCATCATTCTACATGGTTGCATGTTAGTAATGATCAGTGCTGACCTGCACACTACAACACTGGACTGCACACACCATGTGCAGCCCATATATGTGCATGAACAACGCAATGGGCATATGCAATCCCAGTCCCATCACATACGGTTCTCTCACTCAACCTAACACCCACATTAGTACAGTGAGCATAAAGCAATCCTATGAAAAGATATGCCCTTCTAGGTCTACTGACTTCACTGGTAGCATCATTCATATCCGCTGACTCTTTGAGACCCAGCTGAGCTCTGAGCAGATGCAGGAGACAGAGCCGCTAGAGGGGTGAGTGTTTTTTTAACTTGCTTTCAGCTGAGGGGATTCAGCTGAGGATATTGTGTGGGAGGACTGTGTTTGGGAGTGTGTGAAAGTGATTAGAATTGTTGCAGAGTCCTGGCTGCTTAGAGGGAGAGGAAGGGGCATTGTTTGACTGTGACTGACTGTAATTCAGTATTTAAGAAAGCACCTTGCCAGAGGCACGAGCCGAAGGGCTCTTTGCCTGTGGCTCTTCACCTAGGGGCTCTGTAAGAAGCCCAAGAAGAGCCAGAAAGCCAAGGCCCTAGGCTTCTGGAAATTCTATGGGTTGAAATAGGGGGGCCAAAAGGAAACTTAACACTGGGAGTTTGTTATTGCCCACCAGATCAAAAGATAGAGGAGGATTATAAAATGATGAATGAATTCAAGATAGCAGTTAGACAAAAACACTGTGTCGTAATAGGTGGTTTTAACTACCCACACATTGATTGGGTCAATATGTGTTCTAGCCGAGAAAAAGAGATTGAGTTTCTAGACACTCTAAATGACTGTGCTATGGAGCAGATGGTCACGGAACCTACCAGGGGAGAGGCGATCCTTGATTTGGTCCTAAGTAACACTCAAGACCTGGTGAGAGATGTAAAAGTGATTGCACCACTTGGGAACAGTGATCATAATGTTGTTGAGTTCCACATTTGTATAAATAGGGAATTGGCCAAAAAGACTGACACAACCACTTTTAACTTTAAAAGGGGTAATTTTTCTGATATGAGGGGACATGTGGGGAGGAAACTGAAAGGAAAAGTAGAAAGGGTCAAAACCATTGGGGAAGCTTGGAAACTATTTAAAACTACGATCCTAGAAGCTCAAAAAATATATATTCCGCAGGTTAGGAAAGGCACAAAAAGGTATAGGAAAAAGCCTGCATGGTTAACAAACAGAGTAATGGAGGCTGTAAAAAGTAAAAAGAATTCCTTTAAGCAGTGGAAAGCTAGTCACAGTGAGGCTGATAAAACGGAACACAGGCTATGGCAAATAAAATGCAAGTCTGAGGTCAGGCAGGCAAAAAGGGAATATGAGGAGCATATAGCAAAAAACGTAAAAACCAACAATAAAACTTTCTTCAAATACATTAGAAACAGGAAACCAGCCAGGGAGGCAGTGGGGCCCTTGGACGACCAAGGGGTAAAAGGAGTATTGAAGGATGATAGGGAAATGGCTGAGAAGCTAAATGCATTTTTTGCCTCCGTCTTCACTGTGGAAGATGAGAAGTGCTTGCCCACTCCAGAACCACTGATTTCAGGAGGGGTGTTGGAAGACCTGAGTCAGATTGAGGTGATGAGAGAGGAGGTCCTAAAACTGATAGACAACTTAAAAACTGAAAAATCACCAGGCCCAGATGGCATACATCCGAGAGTTCTGAAAGAACTCAAATGTGAACTTGTAGATCTCCTGACAAAGATATGTAATCTTTCCTTAAAATCTGCCTCCATTCCTGAGGATTGGAAGGTAGCTAATGTCACTCCCATCTTTAAAAAGGGTTCCAGAGGAGATCCGGGAAATTACAGGCCAGTCAGTCTGACGTCGATACCGGGTAAATTGGTGGAAACCATTATTAAGGAAAGAATTAGTAGGCACATAGATGAACAAAACCTATTGAGGCAGACTCAACATGGGTTCTGTAAGGGAAGATCTTGTCTCACTAACCTGTTAGTGTTCTTTGAGGGGGTGAACAAACATGTGGACAAGGGGGATCCAATAGATATTATTTACCTTGACTTCCAGAAAGCTTTTGATAAAGTTCCTCATCAAAGGCTCCTAAGTAAGCTCAAAAATCATGGGATAGAAGGACAAGTCCTTTTATGGATCAAAAACTGGCTAGTTCATAGAAAACAGAGAGTGAGTGTAGGTGGGCAATTTTCTCAGTGGAGGGTGGTAAGCAGTGGGGTACCGCAGGGATCAGTACTTGGTCCACTGCTTTTTAACTTGTTCATTAATGATTTGGAGATGGGAGTAAGCAGTGAAGTGGCTAAATTTGCGGATGATACAAAGTTGTTCAGGGTGGTGAAAACCAGTGAGGATTGTGAGGCACTCCAAGGGGATCTGTCAAGGATGGGCGAGTGGGCGTCAACATGGCAAATGGGGTTCAATGTGGCCAAGTGCAAGGTGATGCACATTGGAGCCAAAAATCCTAAATATAAATACACATTGATGGGGTCTGAACTGGCAGAGACTGATCAAGAGAGAGATCTTGGAGTTGTAGTGGATAACTCACTGAAAATGTCGAGACAGTGTGTGACTGCAATAAAGAAGGCCAATGCTATGCTGGGGATTATTAGGAAGGGTATTGTAAACAGATCAGCCAATATCATAATGCCGCTATATAAATCAATGGTGCGACCTCATTTGGAATACTGTGTGCAGTTCTGGTCACCACACCTTAAAAAGGATATTATAGCTTTGGAAAAAGTGCAGAAAAGGGCAACTCGAATGATAAAAGGGTTGGAACACTTTCCCTATGAGGAAAGGTTAAAGCGCTTAGGGCTCTTTAGCTTGGAGAAAAGACGACTGAGGGGTGACATGATCGAGGTTTATAAGATTATGCATGGGAAAGAGCAGGTAAAGAAAGAGGTACTTTTCTCCCTTTCTCACAATACAAGAACTCGTGGGCACTCCATGAAACTGCAGAGCGGTCGGGTTAGAACAGATAAAAGGAAGTACTTCTTCACCCAAAGAGTGATTAACACATGGAATTCACTGCCACAGGAAGTGGTGATGGCTACAAGCATGGACGGCTTCAAAAGGGAATTAGATAAGTATATGGAGCAGAGGTCCATCAGTGGCTATTAGCCACAAGGTATAGATAGGGGCTCTGGGGCAAGTGATGCTCTGTCTTCTTGGTGCTAGGGGGGGTCAACAGTGGGAGGGCTTCTAATGTCCTGGCCCCACTGGTGGACCTCCTGATGGCACTGGTATTTCTGGCCACTGTGTGACACAGAGTGTTGGACTGGATGGGCCTTTGGCCTGATCCAACATTGGCATCTCTTATGTTCTTATGTTTGGCTGCAATGGACAATTCAACAAGACAAATTTGCATGTTGCTTTCATTTGTAGATCTGTTTCACATGATTGTAAAAATATAACTGTGCTACAACAAACACTGTGAGAATTTGAATCCAAGACCACATAAAAAGGCTTACCATTTTCCCAATCATCATGACATAAGGGCCAGCCTGTTGGTTTACTGCTAGGAAATCCAGTAGCCTCACATACCAGAAGATTATATTCAGACAGTAAGTTATTCTTCCAGCAACAAAAACACGATTTAATGAATAAGTATCTTCATTAAAGTTCCCTTTTGCTCCAAATCTTAGTGCAAAACCAATAAAGAAAGTGATGATGGCTATTGTATCGCTGACATTGAAGTAATCATTGAACCACACTTTTATCTTCTGACTAACCTTCCCAGCCTCCGACATGAAGATCTGTTTTAAAAATAATGAGAAATTGGGCACAGTCAATTTCATCTTCTTTCAAAGGCCCTTTCAAAGGCTATGCTGTGTATCAGAATTAGCCTCATTCTTTATTTCAGAATAACTTGCCTGTGGGAACTGGAAGCGCACCCCATCCTCCAGTGGGAGACCCAGGTTTGAATCCCTGTTCTGCCATGGAAGCTCACTGGGTAACCTTGGGCCAGAAACACACACTCTGCTTAACCTACTTCACAGGGTTGTTGTGAGGATTAAAAAATGTAGAAGAGAACAATATAAGCTGCTTTGGGTCCCCACGGGGAGAAAGGCTGGGGTATAAATCAATTAAATATGTAATAGTGAAGTCTGACCACATAGGGTTATTTCCCTTGACTCATTAGTTTACTTTCAGAATACTTTTCCTAGGGTGGGAGGATATCTTGAACAAATTACTGTTTTCAATAACAAGGTCTGCAAGCATAGCGTACTCCTAACACCCATTAGTTCCTTTGGGAGGAATCCAGACTCTGCTGCTGTGACAAGTTACAGCACACATGCAATAAAAATGGAAGTGCGTTAAGTGGAATACTATGAATTTCTTCATTAGAATTCATGAATCAGCTCGTTTGGACAAATTTCTAAACATGGAGAAGTTGTATGCTTTCCAGCTCAGCCTATATGCCCATCTCATTTCTGGGCTCATCAAAAACTGCGACTTTGGCATGGAACTTACATACATTTTTTAAAAATCACATTAAAAAAATTCACGAACTTAGACTGCACAATTGATTCCCAAATTAAATTTAGGACTAGCAATGTGCATGATGGTATCTGTGTAAGTAAACATCACAATGATGTCTGGATGTCCAGAAGGCCACAGGGCACCTGCAGCCTTGTTCTCCTGTAACAGGTAAGTCGCTGCACAATTCATGTTAACTAGCCCTTTGATACAGACACAAATATGACTGTGTATTTCACACACAGAACACAAAATTATAAAAAGTGTCGACATACCTCACGAATCTTCTCAACAGCCAATGTGAAAATGTAAGCAATGACAATCCATTCTTGAATGGAAGGCAGCTCTCCCATTTTCACAAGAACGACAAAAGTATAAAGCATCAAAAATCCTATGTAGGCCAACTATAGAAGTAAGCAAAATAGAGTGTAATTAAAATGGTGGTACCTGTCACCAAACAGATTCTTCAAAAATTATAATACCACAAAGAATTGTTGGTTCTGTGGCAATTTCAATGCTACTTGCTTTCATGTGTGATGGGAGTTGTTCACAAGCTGTTGGGAAATGATTGTGGCAAACATTTCAGTTACATAGATTTTAGGACCACTAGTATGCGAGAACTGTTACTGTAACATTACATCATATGTATTCTGTCTCCTTTTCAAGAGCTGGTTCTGTATGCAGTAACAACTGCTCATTCCATCTGCGCCAGATATTGGAGGAAAAATTCCTTTCAAAGTCAAAGTGAAACTGAATGACACATTGTGCATAATGAAACTGACTGGTTATTTAAAAAGAAAACCTCTAAAAAGTTGGTGTTTGGAGACAAATGTCGGATCAGATGGACTATTGAGGTTTACATGGTTCATATGTATTGTTTATTGTAATTTCTCATAAATTAATTTACAAAATGAAATTAAAAATAAGGAAGTCAAATGATGAATATTTAACAAAGTGCACACAGGGCAAGAAATAAAGCAATTTCTCTTAGAAAAGAAAACACTTACCGTATTAAACCAGAATTTCACGATTGGTGCATGATAAAAGGCATAAAACTTCCGTGTAACTGGAAGTCTCTTGGGTTTTATAGCTGTCTCCATGTCATGCTTCCCTTCATTACTGTCTAAGACTTTTACTTCTTTAAACACTTCCTAACATTAAAAAAAAATAGAAATCATGTATGACCTCATTAGTATTCTGTGTGAAAGAACACTGTGCACGTGGACATGAGTTACCATTGGTATTTCTTCTGCTATGTTCTGGAAATTGTTTTCACTGTCTTCCATGGTCATTTGGTGTGCATCTTGAGACTGTGGAATATGGGACATTTCTGCCTTGGTTTTGTATTCCAGCATTAGTATGGCAGGGGGAACCAAGATGCTCAGTATCACCTGTAAATTGCAAATGCCAAATTATTCAAAAGCATACCCACACACTCGATGATGATGTACTAAAAACATCAGGAAGACACACTGCACACAGAGTACGCCCTCCCAGAAAGATCTTGATATTTGCCTGTCAGGTAGCAAGTAAAAGATGTAGAGGAACAGTTAGGCTGGTAGGGAGGTTTTAGGGGTTTTTTGGTTGAAAAAGATAGAAATTGCAGTTAGCCGTATCGGTTAACTGAGAAAAAAATCCAAAGCACAAGAGAGTAATAAATTTTATTAGAACAAAGTACTAGAGCATCACAAAGCAGTGAGCAAGCCTTCAAGTACCCTAAAACTCTTCTGCGGGCTGGATGTTAAGAAAAGAGGAAGGGGAAAGGAATGCTGCTGCCCTACAATTAGGGCTGCCAACTCCAGTTTGGGAAACCCCTGGAGATTTGGGGCAGAGCCTGGGGAGGGAGCTCAGCAGAGATGTCATGCCCTGATTAGTCCACCCTCCGAAGCTGCCGTTTTCTCCAGGGGAACTGATCTCTGCAGTCTGGAAATCAATCAGCTCTCATTCTCAGAGAAGGCCAAGTCCCACCTGGAGGTTGGCAACCCTAGCTAGAATAGAAAACCCGACTCTGCAGATGGTTATGGAACAGAGCTGGAATTCATGAAGGCACTGGTCTAGTTTTAGCTCTTCTGCCTACTGACAGTTTTAAATTGTTGATTTCAATTTGTGGTTTTTATGTATTTTATTGTGTTTGCACTGTAAGCCACCTTGGTAGAAAGGTGGCTAATTAAATATGTTAAAATGAATATGTATGATACAGACTAAGGTTAGACCCAGGTTGCCCAAGGTGATGCCTCCAGGGACCTCCCCAGGTGACTCGCATGAGCTTCAGGATAGTAGGCTGGGCCATTCTTAGGTCTGGACCAATGAGTGGATGGCTGCCTTCATACAAATAAACTCACCTGGATCTACTCCCACTGCTCACTGGAGCAGGACCCCACAGATCAGTTGTAGGGTGGTCGGGGCCAGGCAACACCAGAGCAGCAGAGGGGGTGCTTCATTTGACCTCCTGTGACAGCTGTTTTGTACTTGGCTCCATTTCCTTTGACAGCCATTTTGTGGCAGCCCCCACCCCCCCACCACCCCCAGAATTCCAGCGGTGCCCCACTGGCTTAAAACGGTTGTGCACACCTGGGCTAAAGTGCACTGGATTCAAAACAAAACACAGACAATCTCAGGATTCACCAAAGGCTACTGGGACAGTGATACTAGGGCAATTCTTACTCTGAAAATATAAACACCAACAGATCCAGTGACCTTGGGCCAGTCACATCATCAGCCTAACCTACTCACAGGGTTGTTGTGAGGACAAAATTGAGGAGAGGAGAACAATGTATGCCCGGGGAGAAAGGCAGCGTATAAATAAATTAAATACATAAACTAAATAAATAAATAAACAAATTTTCAAAGCCAGACCTTCCTTTGTGTTTTTTTTCCCAGAAACTTTTAGTGAAACCCACGGCCCATTTAGAACCCAGCAACATCTAATTTAATTAAGGATGTAATCTTATGCAGTAATTACCACTCAATTCAGTGGGAGTTACTTCTAAGAAAACATGCAGAGAATTGTGCTATAAGCCTACGTCACACCTCTAATACTTCATCTCAAGATTGTTAACAATTTGCAGACTTGGGTTTTCCATCATGCTCATGCTCAGCACCGTCTTTTCTTTTCTCCTACCACCTGCCTCTTCCCCCCCCACCCAGCCTTATGAAGAGTTCAAGGGAATTTTTAAGGCTTGCTCCTTATTTTACAGTACTTTAGTTGGTCCTAATAAACATTATACTTCTGTTGCTTTTGTGGGGGGGGGGGTCTCTTTTAATCTGCTCTCTCTAAAATGGAGTCAAACAGAATGCATTTCAATAGTTTTTGCTGTCCTGAATATTTTCCACTACTCCTAGCTGTCACGTTCAGCCAATACGCATTTACCAGAACCAGTCTAGCTACATCCATTTGGAAGTCAAAAATTCTGTCTCTCTAAGCGCTAAAATTAGTTCACTAGCAAGCCAAGTGAGATAGGACACGTTAGTATGCCCAACAGACAAGAGCACATCATGCTTTAAAATGATGCTTGAGGATGGTTGGCATTGACAATGCAGTTTTCACAGATTTTCTGTGTTATGATACGGATGGGTAAGTTTTCAGTTTGGTGTTCAGAGAGGAATGCTGATCCTGCTATGGTTAAATGAGGCTACATGGCTTGGTTTATGCACACCCTCCTGAAAACTTACACCCACTCCCATCCTGCTGGCTTGTCTGCCTTCTACTAGCCCTCCCACTTGTGCAAGCTTGTGCAACTAAAATACAAATATGAACAGTTTTCTACATTGTGTTTTACTTTACTACCTGAATAAAAGCATAATAGCATTTCAATTTTAAACAAGGCGTTTTCAGTCTGTTAATGTTTCACCACTAAATTTTTTTAGTAATAGATTAGTTTCTCATGAAGAGCTAGAGATCCACCTCTGGTTAAAGGCTTACTTGCCTGGTTTCTGCCTTCTACCTTTCTGTACCTTTTTTAAAAAGATAATAAAACATCATAAGAAGAGTTATTATTGTATTCCCAATACCACCTCCAGCTTTGATTATGTTAAAAAAGCGGTTTTATTTAACCTTACATAAAGACTACAGTGACGAAGACTCGGCAAGCCAAAAACATGCTTTCCCCTAAGTACTGCTAGATACTGCTAGATAAAGAAAATATATGGTGGAGTCTAGTGAAGGCAAATTTGCAAGACTGATTACCTTGTACCATGAATTCTTCCTCATGTTAAGTCTTCCCATCCACATATCAGACAACAACATTTGTGTGCACGTATGAGCAACGAAAGGCCGAAGCCGTGAAGACACTGCTAGCTTAAGGCAGGTGGAATTACTCCAGTTTTTTAGCTCATAAGTTAGCAACTTCATAGCCATCGTTTCATCTTGCCGGAACGACTGTTCTAACAGCTCAACTGCCAGCTGTCCAAACTCACTGAGAAGAAAACACACACACACACACAGGTTAGAGGATGCAAAGGATACACAGCCATGGTGTGAAAGCTCATTTTTGTCTGCACTGTTTTTATCTTGAAAAAAGCAAGGTACAAGATACAGAAAGGTGCAAAATTCAGGAGAGCAATGATCAAATAAACCACCTAGAGCCTACAAATACTAAATGATGAATATATTCTGACAATGCTTAAAATTATTTTGACAACGCCATTAGTAGCCAATGATATACCAGGGTGCCAGAATGCTATATGCAATGCAATGATACAAGGTCCCAAATACAATATCTGAAAATACACATTAAAAAAACAGAGTTGCATTTACCTGTAACTGTTGTTCATCGATGTCTTCTGTGCAGACACACACTTGTGCAGGCCAGCTGTGGACATTTTCTTTCTAGCTTTAAAACTCCAAAAATTAGGCTGCCTGACCTTCCTGGGGCCAATGCACACGAGAGTTTTCCCACCGAATGCATCAAGCTGTCCCCTTTTTGCAGTTCCTGCTTAGCCGTTGAGAGCTCTGGTAAATTTCTTATGCAAGGTAAAATCTTTCCTAATACATTATTATTATTATGATATATTAATGTGAGAGCTCACAGAGGGGCAGGAGGGAGGGAATGTGTGCCTGCACAGAAGACGTCGATGAGCAGGTAAGGGCAACTCTGTTTTCATCTTCTGTCTTGCTATGCAGCCCCACATTGGGACCATTACCGAGCTGCTCACCTAAGGAGGAGGGGTGAGTCTCTCACTGAAAAAGTGCATGTAGCACAGCCTTTCCAACTTCTGCTTCTTTTCTTGCCTGCAGGTCCAAAGCACAATGCCTCACAAAGACCAGGTTGCTGCTTTGCCAATGTCACGGAGTGACCAGCTGCTCTATAGCAAGATCTTACTGCAGCCACGACCCATCTGGACAGTGATTGGGCCAATGCTGCCCCCTTCCCTTTCTGGGCTCTGAGCCTGCTTCGACAGGGATGGTGGGGTATAAATCGAATAAATAAATAAATAAATATAAACAACCCTTTATCTTTATGAAAGGAGCTAGTCCCGTCTAAATAATAAAGGAGAGCCCTTCTACGATCTAAAGTATGTAGAGTTTTTTCTGCCACCTGTTTCGATGGCTTTGCAGTCGAGGTAGACTTGTCCTTGTGTTTGGATCTCCTATGCTTTTTGGCTGGAGGCTCAGTCTAGCCTTCTTGGAAGGACGGGCATGCTTGGGAGGCAATGCAGTCGCTCTGACAGTTGGTACTGTCAGAACAGAGCAGGCAGGCAGGGGACTGGAACCATGTCCAACGGTCAGAGCTGGAGATGGAACTGAGACTGATTGTCCCGGACTAGGGCTCAGTTTGGCTGGAGGCAGCAAAAAATTAACTGAGGGAAGGGGGCGGCTTGCCTCCGGAGTATGTGACACATTCGGCAGGAAAACTCACACATGTGCTGGTCCCGAGAAGGACGGGCTGCCCAATTTTGGAGTTTTAAAGCTAGAAAGAAAATGTCCATGGCCGGCCTGTGCAAGCACAGTCCCTAATGTGGGGCTGCACAACAAGACGGAAGATGAATCACATGTATCCAAACCATCTACAAAAAAAAAAAAAAATTCTTTCAACAAAGATAAACTATCCAACTCAAATGAAATTTGTATCCAGCTCACATTTACAAGAAGTCAAAAAGTGTAATATATTAATGGAGTGTAAATTGGACATAGTCATTTGAATCGGATAGTTCATCCTCGTTGAACTAATTTTGTATAGGACCTGGGTACATGTGAATTTTTACTGAAGGGTTTTCTTTCTTATTTTTATCTTTCTGTTTTCCCAAGCAGCTTGGATGGCTTACACCAAAGCTCCCCAGCTTTTTTGAGCCTGCAGGCATCTCTGAAATTCAGACACAGCATAGTGGATGCAGCGACGAAATGGCTGCCATGGGAGGCAGAGCCTTCAGTCACACAATAAATATCCTTGTGTTGCTGTGCTGGCAGCTACAATGTTTTCCAAGATCTGCACAGCCAATCAAATCCCCAGTGGCCAATCAGAAGCCTTACTGGGTAAAAGCCCCACCTGGCCCTGCCCATTTTCTAAAAACACTTGGCGGGCACCAGGAAAAGTGTTGGCAGGTGGGCACCAAGTTAGGGACCCCGGACTTACATCGTCTCCTTCTTCCCTACAACAACCTCATGTAGCAGGTTAGGCTGAGAAGAAGAGATTGGATGTATACCCCACCCTTCACTCAGAGTGGTTTACAATCCTCCTTCCCTTCCTCTCCCCACAACAGACACCCTGTGAGGTAGGTGGGACTGAGAGAACTCTTTCCAGAACTGCTCCTGAAAGAACAGCTCTGAGAGAACTTGTGATTCGACCCAGGGTCACCCAAGCAGCTGCATGTGGAGGAGTGGGGAATCAAACCTGTTTCTCTTACATTAAAGTCTGCCGCTCTTAACCACTACACCAAACTGGGCTAGGCTAGGCAAAAATCCAGACAAAAGTCAACCCAAGGATTACAGGGGCAGTCTCCCCACTCCAAGCCCAACCACTATAAACACCTAAAGGTCTAGGTTTGCTATCAATGTTAGTAGATCAGGCCCAGCAAACTGCCAGGATGGGAAAGTATCAGGAACAACTCTGAACCCTCTGGAGGAAAAGTTCAGTAAAAGTATCAGTAAATAATTTAGAAAGTATCTTTCCCCAGGATCAAATTTAAAATTTGGAAAAAGTACACTATCTGGAAAATAAAAAGTGCATTTTAAACTGATAGCTCAGAAAACATTTAACAAGGCAACAGAAGGCAGTTTACTCGCAATACTGTTTGAGTTCTTCCGAGGTATCGTCAACAAGGTCACTTTGTTTTGCTTCATAGGCCATCGACCGATACAGCTTGCAGGCCACTAAGGCTTTGGCCATGGACTCCTCCCCGTGTTGCCAGAAGAAGAGTGCCATTTTTTGCCTTTTCATTAGCACCGCCCAAAGTAGCAGCTCGTTAAGAGGATAAGGAAAGCGCCTCGTCTCCGGGTCATCAATATCTACTATGTCATCTTTGGTTTTTTTCTTTTTTCCTTCTTCTGTAACAGTATCGCCCTTAAAAAAATTAAATTGAAAGAAAATTAATTGGAGGGTTATACAGAATAAGGAAATATTGGCTCATAATGGCTAGGGTTGCCAGTTCTGGGTTGAGAAATATCTGGAGATCTTGGGGGTGGATCCAGGGAAAGGTGGGGTTTGGGGAGGGTCCGGACCACAGCAGGGTATAAAGCCACAGAGCCCACCCTCCAAAGCAGCCATTTTCTCTAGGAGAACTGATGTCTGTAGCCTGGAGATCAGTTGTAATAATAGGAGATCTCCAGGTGCCATCTGGAGGCTGGCAACCCTAATAATAACTCACAGTTTCAAACAGTGATGCTCAGTGGCTAAGGAGCCACATGCAGCTCTTTGGCATGCCACCCGGCTCTTCTGAGTACTGGTCTCCAATGTGGTTCCTATGCCATGTTTCAGGGGACAAGGCCCTTGTCTGGTGGGGACTCTGATAGCAGGTGGCTCCCACCTTGAAACAGCCACTGCCAGTGGAACGCACAAGCTGCAAGCCTCCCTGGTATCAGGTATCATGCAAGGCATGGAAATAAATGTGGTTCTTTAGGATGACGGTGATTGCTGTGCTGGCTCTCCACGAGCTGCAGAGTGAGGACCGCTGGTTTAAAGAGACTGTTATGGCACAATTTAATGTGGCAATCAGGGACCAGGAATTAAAAACAAAAACAACACAGAGAAGATTTTTGTTTTTCCATCTTCAAGTTTGTTGGTTAAAAAATACATGAACATCTGAAGCTGCCATATGCCAGAGTCAGACTGTTGGCCAAATTAGCTCAATAGTGTCTGTTAACTTCCAACCATCAAAAGCTCTTCTGAATCTTGGACAAAGAAAGGTCTTTCCCAACGCTGCTCGTGGGATCCTTTGACTATACCTGGAACCTTCTGCCTTCAAAGCTGGTTCTCTATCACTGCAACATGACACCCCCCCCCCCCCCCTAACTGCTCTCTGGCACATACAATGAGTTCGTGATAGCAGCCAAGCACTGCAGTTCTATACATATTCCGTGCTAAAAGAAAGTTAAAATTATTTCACCTAGGCAACTGAAATTTTCCACCAAGGAAGCTTGACGTCTGTGACTTGTAAAACGTTTGGCAAAATGAGCAGATGCACGTATCTTTGCTCCTGTGCTTTTTTTTCCAACTATTCAAAAGGAGCAGCACTGAAGGCCAGTCCCACATTTTATCCAGCCACCCCTACTTTCTGAGCTTTCAGCTAGCGTGGACCACAATGCTGCTCCTGCTCCTTGTTTATTGAAAGCATGATGTTCTTTTATAAAAAGCATGATGTTCGCAGGGATCAGTACTTGGTCCAGTGCTTTTTAACTTGTTCGTTAATGATTTGGAGTTGGGAGTAAGCAGTGAAGTGGCTAAATTTGCGGATGATACGAAGTTGTTCAGGGTGGTGAAACCCAGTGAGGATTGTGAGGCACTCCAAAGGGATCTGTTGAGGATGGGCGAGTGGGCGTCAATGCGGCAAATGGGGTTCAATGTGGCCAAGTGCAAGGTGATGCACATTGGAGCCAAAAATCCTCAACATAAATACACATTGATGGGGTCTGAACTGGCAGAGACTGATCAAGAGAGAGATCTTGGAGTTGTAGTAGATAACTCACTGAAAATGTCGAGACAGTGTGTGACTGCAATAAAGAAGGCCAATGCTATGCTGGGGATTATTAGGAAGGGTATTGAAAACAGATCAGCCAATATCATAATGCCCCTATATAAATCAATGGTGCAACCTCATTTGGAATACTGTGTGCAATTCTGGTCACCACACCTTAAAAAGGATATTATAGCCAAAGGGCAGTTGCAGAAAAGGGCAACTTGCATGATAAAAGGGTTGGAACACTTTCCCTATGAGGAAAGGTTAAAGCGCTTAGGGCTCTTTAGCTTGGAGAAACGACGACTGAGGGGTGACATGATTGAGGTTTATAAGATTATGCGTGGGAAAGAGCAGGTAGAGAAAGAGGTACTTTTCTCCCTTTCTCACAATACAAGAACTCGAGGGCACTCAATGAAATCGCTGAGCGGTCGGGTTAGAACGGATAAAAGGAAGTACTTCTTCACCCAAAGAGTGATTAACACATGGAATTCACTGCCACAGGTGGCTACAAGCATGGACGGCTTCAAAAGGGAATTAGATAAGCATATTGAGCAGAGGTCCATCAGTGGCTATTAGCCACAAGGTATAGATAGGGGCTCTGGGGCAAGTGATGCTCTGTCTTCTTGGTGCTTGGGGGGGTCAACAGTGGGAGGGCTTCTAATGTCCTGGCTCCACTGGTGGACCTCCTGATGGCACCTGGTATTTTTGGCCACTGTGTGACAGAGTGTTGGACTGGATGGGCCTTTGGCCTGATCCAACATTGGCGTCTCTTATGTTCTTATTTTTTAATGGTACCTGACCTATCTTTGGCTGAAGTGTATTTACAAACTGTCCAGTGTGGACTGGCGGTACTGTCAGATGCAGATGTATTTCATGTATTTTGTAAATGTCCATGTAATGTAAATTTCTGAAAAACTGATTCTGGAAACCATTAGCAAAATGACAGGCAGGATAAATTACCCCCATACAAACCAGGAATAGCACTTGAGATATCTGAAGAATATGATTGGAAGCCTTGATTAGGAATTAATTGCATCTCTTTTGACAGCAGCAAGGATGTGTGAAGCATAAGAATTGGAAATCACCATTTTCACCATTGGTCAAGGACTAATCTAATAGAACCTGGCTTGTGGCTTTGTTAACAAAAATGGTTTTACTACAAAAGCAGCCACAGAAAAAACTCAATCAGATAAGTGCATGGAAAAGTGAATCTTATTTACTGAACTCTGGAATTCAATGATAACACGTAGCAAAATGCATTGAGCAAACTGTTATATTAGAACATTTACCTTTTTATTTTAAAGTATAAGTAAGTCTCTGCACACCGCCAAGAAAATCTTGAAATTCCTTAATTTATTTCCCCCCCCCAAAAAAGCTATAGTATGCTGTGTACTCATACCTTTGGTTTGTAAGGCTGCGCAGTTTTGATGAAGTGGTTATGCCGCATTTTCTCTTTTTTATCTGCCCTGTTACCAAAAGGTTCGTGGTTTTTACGTAACTGAGGGGTGCTGCTTGAAGCATTTCGGCCAGAGCGCTAAAAATTAGAGAAGGGGAGGGGAGACACATCCCAAAATCCTTTACGTTACTTCAATTTGCTAAATTTTAATTCTAACGTTAAGCCATGATGAAAAACAACAAATGAAATATTAAAATGAAATTACTTGTAAAAGGCTGATAGATGAAGCTTAGTACAGGGGTCAAGGACATGGGCTGTGAGCTGGCAAAGTGCCCAGTTCAAAATTCACATTGACTATGGGTTCACTACCTGACCCTAGAACTCTTCAGTCTCCTAGCCTCAGCCCTCATTACAGGGCTGTTGTCAGGTTTGTTGAGATAGTGAATGCCAAACTTGCACCAAAAAACCCTAGAGATTTTGAGGGAAATGCTCTTTTCAGAAATCACCGTTACGTTATGCGATCTGGATTGTTGGAAGTTTTAAACACATCTGAGACCGAAACATTACATTATGCTTCTGTTCTTTTAGACTGAGAAAACCACCTACCCGATTGCTGCCGCTGAGACTGTTGTATACCACTCTGAAGCGTTTTCGTGTGTATGTGCATCTGTAGGTTCCTCCCATCAAATATTCAATAACGAGCCCCACATCAATCAAAGTGAGTTTGTAACCTGGAGGAAGGTGTCCCTGGGAGCAAGACATTACTAATTTAGAATACCTGAAACCCCTCAGACTATGCTCGTCATTTTCACATGTTATCAGAAAGAGCAAGGGAAATCAAGGCCTTAGAGCCTTTGGTGCCTTAGAGCACCAAAAACCCATTTTACCCAAATAATTTCACAGAGAGTTTTTTCAAATGTAAACCTCCTACTATTACTACTAAAATGCAATATACTTCCAAGTAAGTGTGCACAAGATTGCAGACCTGATCCATATTTGATCATTTCATAAACATAAAGCAATAGGTATTCATAATTTCCAGACTACATTCAACATGTCAGTTATGTCAAAGAGCACTTTGAGGGAGAGGAAGAAAAGAAATTAAACTACTCTGAAGTTTTCCATCATGGTTACTACAAAGAGTAGTTAAAACCCATTTACTGACATTATTATGTCCTGACCTGGATAGCCCAGACTAGCCTGATCTTGTCAGATCCTGGAAGCTAAGCAGGGTCAGCCTTGGCTAGTATCCGGATCAGAGACTTCCAGGGTCACGACACGGAGCCAGACTATGGCAAGCCACCTCTGAATGTCTCTTTCCTTGAAAATCCTATCAGGTCGCCATAAGTCAGCTATGACTTGACAGCACCCTATACCACCAGCATCATTATACAAAGGGGAGGGGAGATACATTAACCTTTAGTTTCTTGTTTAAGTGTGTCTAAAGCCATTAAAGTATTTTAGTCACCAAAAACCATACCTGTTTTACATCTCGAACAAGGTGAAACAGCGCTGGATTAGTTGGGCCTTGTTTCTTGACGCAGAGAGAAGAATGCAGATTTTTAGATACTTTGAGACGTGACACAAAAAAACCCAGCAGTATAAACAGAACATCATATCACAGATAAAGGTTTCAAGATTCTAAACAAGGGTTCCCAACATGGGCACCATGGTGCCTGCCATTATTTCCCCTGGCAAATGCCAAGCTTTTTAGAAAGTGTACAGGGCCACTGTGAGGCAAGGCTTGTTACTGGCTGTCCTCATTGAAATAGAAGGATTTCCCCCTGCAATAGCACCCATAGCCACTGGAAGATCAGGAGGCACCCGAGGTTTCTTTAGTTATTATGTGGTTCCAGTCTCCCTTCTCTTCCTTCCTTCCCCCCATGCTGCTTTCCTTCCTTTCTTTTTATTCACCAATGTCTTTCACCCTCCTCATCCTACTTTCCTCCCTTTCCTTTTATTGCCCCTCTGAGATTCTTGCACAAAGTAAGGAAGAAGGTACTATGCCTCCCATGGCAACCATTTTAGTTTGGGCTTCACCTGCCGGAGAAGCCATTTGGGGTGGTGCTCACCCACTAGGGATGGGTACGAACTGGGTGACGGACCAAATTTTATCACGGACCAGGACCCAGTTCGTGGTCCATGAGCCTGGTCCCTGCAATCGTGTCTCTCGTGGACTGCCATGTTTTCCAGGAGCAGTCCATGAGCCTGACACGCTGGCACTGAGGATTGCCAAGGCAGCAGGGGGAGTGAGTAAAAGGAGGGCGTTTAAACCTCTACAGATTTTTCTGTTTAATCGACCAGGTTATGGTTCATCAGGTTCATGAAGAGAAGGAATTCAAAATGCCTTCCCCTTACTTGCTGAGTCACAGGCATCATGAAGATGGAGCACACCTCAGCTAGTGAAGGGAGGACGTTTTAAATGCCTTCCCTTCACTCCCTTAGTCGTGCCACCATGTCGCAACTCCAGGAGTGAAGTGAAGGCATACAAAATGCCCTCCCTTCACTTGCTGAGGTGCAGTGCCACAGAAGCACAAATCAGCAAGTGAAGGGAGGGCATTTTGAATTTTTCCCCTTCACTTGCTGAGTCTGAGGTATGCTGCTGAGTCCATGGTGGTGCAACTTGAAGAGTGAAGGGAAGGAATTCAAAATGCCCTCCCTTCCCCAGCTGAGGTGTGCTGCGTTGTCATGGTGCCTGTGACTCAGCAAGTAAAGGGAGGGCATTTTGAATTCCTTCTCTTCATGAACCTGATGAGGCATGACCTGGTCCATTAAACAGAAAAATCTGTAGAGGTTCGCGGTTTGTAAACCCCACAAACCTCCATTTTTTCAGTCTACGCCAGCCCCTACTCACGACCACCCCTCTCAAAATTATAAAGGTGCCCACAGGCTCAAAAGTGTTGGAGATCTCTAAACTATCCATAATACTGACTATTAAATAGAGATGCTCTCTTTTAGTACTGTACCCTTGATTTCTAAGTACTGCACTGCCTAGCTGAAGTTTTCAGACGTAATACTTCAATGCCTCTCAGCAACAAGCATTAGATGAAGAAAAGGTCCTACGTAAGCATGACAAAAACTGGTCTCTTAATCTAATAGTAACTCTTGCGTTGTATCTTCTGGGAGTTCAAAATAATTTCCCACCCTTCCCAATCACATAAGGGAGGTCATCAAGAAGAAGACATAAGCAAGGAGCACCTAGCCTCTATCAGGAAAAGCTCCCGAAACAGATTCTCTCTCCCTTCCCCCTGACCCACTTCAGACTTTTCTTTAATCATTTTGACAGCAACCACCTGATATTTGAGTAACATCTGCAAATTCATGTCCCCCATTCCATCCTAATCTATCATATCTTGAATTTCATTTCTAACTCCTTCGCTCTTTCAGACTGTATTATTTCCCACATTAATTAAATTTCCTTCACTCTTCACCCTTCAACTGTTTGACCCCTCAAAAGAGGCAGCGACAACTGCCAGGGATTATTTGCAATACCTATAAGAGAGAGACCAAGAAGATGTACAGAAAAATTAAGTGAAACGTGTTAAATAATTTATTTCACTTAAGCTTTTGACTAATGTGGAATTCACTGCCAGTGGATGTAGTCAGGGCCAGAAGCATAGATGGTTGGATAGATTCATGGAGAGGTCTATCAATGGCTACTAGCCATGGTCAGCAAAGGGAACTTCCATATACAGACGTAGACAACCTCTGAATACCTGTGCTAGGAGATAGCCTTAGGGAAGGGCCTTGGCCTCCCCTCCCCATTTGCTGGCCCTTCAGGGCAAGTGGTTCAACACTGTGTAAAACAGGATGTTTAACTAGATGGACCATCAGTCTGATCCAGCAGGACTCTTATATTCTTATGTAATCTGTGTCACAGTTTCTACGAGCATGTTTGAGACTTCCTGTACAGAGATTGTTATCAATTTCTTGAATGTAGGACAACAATGTTAACTTCCAATTCCTGATCCATCAGAATGGCTGCTGAGTTTCTGGCAGATAATATTTTACAACTCACATGATGTACTATTAATGATATTATTGTTACAAAGTACAACCTCCCTCTCACACTATGTTTCCATATAATTACACAAATCAGTTCCATGTAGTATTTTACCTGTAAAGCAACCCCCCCCCCAATAAATGCCCTAACGACATAAGAACGTTTATACAACATAAATTAGAAACATGGCCCAGGTGAAAGTATATCTTTCAAAAAAATTACTGTCGACTTACAGTGTTGTAAAGTTCTTCCAGTCTGGGAATTGTAAGAAATTTGTGCATGCTTACTCCATTCTCAATAAGTAGTTTCACAAAGGCAACTCGGTCCATCACAAGGGCATCTAACATAGCCTGCTCTAAAGATCCAACCTGAAGACATGAGACCATAATCCTTATATTAAAATTAAATGACATGTCGGGTCTGCCACAAAGATTCCTGCCCCCTCTTCTAAATACATAAACACCCCTTGAATCTTTGGAACTGTGTGAACGGACAGACGCCAATAAAAAAATTGAAGTGTGAAAACTAAGTAAGGAAGCATATAAGCAAAAATGCCATGTTCTCCAAACATGAAATTCTATCACTGCTGGAGGACTCTATAACTTTTATTAAAATACGTTTCAGAAATATACAAAATAAAATATACAGTAGTTCAGAGAGCAAACTGCGAAGCGGAATACCCACATTCCATTCTTCTCAGCTGTGCCCTCATCATTATCTGGTGCAGACAACAGTATGTCCTCCTTAACTGCAATTAGTTAGAAAAAAGTTTAATCCAAAAACAAAGAGAGGAGCATTTGTATATCCACACAGTTACAATACAGGAGCATTCATTCTGCCTAGGTCATAGTTGTTAAGTTGTTCAAATTCCCCCTCAGTGTTGAAGCCCTCTGGGTGATCTGGGCCCAGTCACTATTCTCAGCCTAACCTACCTCATAGGGTTGCTGGGAAGATAAAAGGGGTGGGAGACCCTTGTACACTGCCTTGAGTTCCCTGGAGGAAGGGCAAGATAAAAACAAGTAAAACTGCAATACATACTAGAATTGTATAAGAGGTCCAATTATCACACAAAGCTATTTCTACAGTATTAACCAACTGCTTCTTAAGAGTAATTTTGCTTCTTCCATTACATTTACATACCAGCCACTGCTGTCCATAAACAAAAACATGATTTTTGGCAACGTCAACTCTGTCCCATGCAAGGGTAAGGACAAGCTGGTCAAATGCAGAGGCATTTGTGCCTAAAACAGAACACAGAAAGCAGATCTGTACTTTAAACAGCTCATCTGAACAATCCTGTTTTCACAAGTAACATCAATGTTCCCTCTAGGCTGCAGAGCCTTGTGAGCAGAAATGTACCTTCGTGAGCCAAAAATGGTACTAGCTTTAAAACTGTGAGTGGGCCTACATATTTTTTAAAAAACATTTCAGTTTACAAACATGCAAAACACACAAACATGAAATATAAACTATTATATGAAATATAAACTATAAAATATAAACTATTACCATTCATATTACAAATCATATCTTTATATGGAACTTAGATTTGTATTATTTATATAATTCTTTAATCCTATAATCCTATTTTCACAAGAAACAATAATGTTCCCTCTAGGCTGCAGAGCCTTGTGAGCAGAAATTTTCCTTCGTGACCCAACAATGGTACTAGCTTTAAAACGCTGAGTGGGCCCACATTTTTTTAATGCAGTTTACAAACATGCAAAACACACAAACATGAAATATAAACTATTACCATTCATATTACAAATCATATATTTATATGGAACTTATATGTATAAGGAACTTAGATTTGTATTACTTATATAATTCTTCTATATTTTAGGAATGATGTAAACATCAATCACCTCTGTTCTGTCCCCCTGCAGCAGGGCAGGGCAGCAGGGGGAGGCGGCAGGAGGAGGGTGACAGTACGGGACAAACAGAGGGCAGAAGCAGCTCATGGGAGGCAAACCTTTTTGGCGGCAGAGGCAAGGACTGCCACCAGTGTCCCCCTTTATAGGGCCCACAGGCGCTGGCTGAAGGGAGTAGGGCCAACCCATGAGGACCCCTGTGCTGAGCTAATGAGCTCTGCACTGGGGGGGAGGGAATCAGTGCACCAGCACAGGCTGGTGCACGTTAGTGGGAATCCTGGTAACAACTTTATTTACCCCAACTCTAAGACAGAAGCAAAGAAACATAGAGCTAAAAGGTACCTTAAGGGTTATCTACTCCACCCCCCCTGCATAATGCAGGAAATTCACACACACACAGTGACCCTGTTCTAGGCCCAGAGGAACACAAAAAAACCCCAGGATCCCGGGGCCAAGCTGGCCTGGAGGAAAATTCCTTCCTGACCCCAAAGTGGTGATCAGCATTTCCTTAAGCAGATAAGGAAAAGCCACAAGAGCCAAGGACTGGCTCATCCCTTCCTGCCCTCCCTCTCACCATCTGCCTAAATTCACAGAATACGCATTGCTGTCCAATGGTCATCTAGCCTCTGCTTAAAAAGCTCCAAAGGAGAGCCCACTACCTCCTGAAGAAGCCTGTTCCACTGAGGAACCACTCTAGCTGTCAGGAAGTTCTTCCTAAATGTTTAGCTGAAAACTCTTCTGATTTAATTTCAACCCACTGATTCTGGTCCGACCTGGGGCAACAGAAAACAGCTCTGTACCATCCTCTATATGACAGCCCTTCAAGTAGTAGAAGAAGAAGAGATTGGATTTATACCCCGCCCTTCACTACCCAAAGGTGTCTCAGAGCGGCTTACAAACTCCTTTCCCTTCTCCTCCCCACAACAGACACCTTGTGAGGTAGGTGGGGCTGAGAGAGCTCTGACAGAAATTGCTCTTTTTCAAGAACAGCTGTGCCAGAACTATGGCTTGCCCAAGGTCATCCAGCAGGTGCAAGTGGAGGAGTGGGGAATCAAACCCGGTTCTCCCAGATAAGAGTCCGCGCACTTAACCACTACACCAAACTGGCTTCAAGTACTTGAAGATGGTGATCATATCACCTCTCAGTCATCTCCTCTCTAGGCTAAACATATACAACTCCTTCAACCTTTCCTCATAGGACTTGGTCTCCAGACCCCTCACCATCTTCGTTGCCCTCCTCTGGACATGTTCCAGCTTGTCTATATCCTTCTTAAATTGTGGTGCCCAAAACTGAACACAATACTCTAGGTGAAGTCTAATTAGAGCAGAGTAAAGCGATACCAGCACTTGACGTGATCTGGACACTATACTTCTGTTGATACAGCCCAAAATCACATTTGCCTTTTTAGCATCACACCACTAACATGTTCACTGTATGGTCAACTAAGACCCCTAGATTCTTTTTGCAAATCCTACTGCCAAGACAAGGCTCCCCCATCCTATAATTTTTATCTTTTAATTATGATTTTATTATTTTACTTTAGCAATGGAACCAACACGTTACACATCCATCTTGAAATGTACACTATGATTAAACACTGCAGAAATATATTGGAGTTTGAAAATATTAAAACTTAAAAAGCACAATATATATTTTCTCCCTAATTTAAACAGATTTTGGCAATATTGTTGAGCTAAAGGGTGCATGTATGCGTGCACATTTTCTGAAAAAGCATCCGTCACATCCAAAAGTTCCCACCTTTTCAGCAGCATTTCAGACAGCACAGAGAAAGGGAGCCAAAGTGTTTGCTATTGGCCTCACAGCTTTCTGACACTAGCAACATGGCATGTATTGCGCTCATCACATGAGAGCAAAAACCGCTGGGATGAGTGTTCTCAGCAACAAACAGTTGCCATTAAAACAAAGAAGAAAATCAGCAGCTAACACTGGATGGGAAATGAAGCAGCTGAAAAAAAAAGTAAGGAAGTCATCCTGCCCCACCACCACCCTACCCCACCCCACCCCACCCCACGGCAACATGCCTCCCCTGGCAGTTCCATTGCTGCTGCAAACACATTCATGGTACCACATTCAGGGCAGCCCTAATGATTTATATGCTTTTAGAGTAGTTGTTTTTTTAACTGACCTTTTAGAAGTGCTGTGAGGATTGCAACATCGATATCTTGATGCTCATCAGACCCAATATGAAATACAGTAATCTGCATTGAAACATGTTTCACATTAGCATTTTTGGATATCTTAACAGCTCCTCAACATAATATACTATTATGTCTCCACCAAAATAACTTTTTAAAAAGGTGAATAAATTGGAATCTAAGAAGTAGAAACAACCCGTTTCATTTTCTTTGGGATACTTCTATTCTGCCTTTAACCATGAAAAGCTCTAGTTTGGCTCACAAAAAATAAACAATAAAATACAATCTAAAATATTAACTCACACATGAACTAAAAATAGCAGCAGCAGCAGAAACTTATACCTAACAAAAACAGCATATAAAAGAAAACAGCAGGATTTAGAAGGGAAACAGCAGAGTGGCATTAAACATAAATCACAGTATGCACATACAGTATGGCAAATATTAAATATTAAGACTAGAGAGCATTAATAAGAACTCACAAAAACCAAACTGCAAAAATATATACAAAAGTATGTAAAATAAAAATAGAACTGTGGGACAGGGTGAGAAATTTATAAGCAGTCCAAGCAAATACATCTTTGCCTGGTGCCAAGAAACTCAGCCCCAGGTAGGCAGCCAAGAAGACAGCATTCCACTTTTATTTAGTTGTCTATCGAATTTCTCCCCCACCCTCCCAGCCAAGACCGGCTCAGGGGTTGCAACTGAGAAGGCACGGCTTTTTCATACCAACCCACCTTACTTCAATTACTGGAAGCAGACGGAGGAAGGCCTCCAGTGAGGATGATGATCGCAAATGATGGGCAGGTTATGTACTCAGTTTAAAGCAATAAACCCTTCACTCACTTACACAGTTAAGCACTTACACCCCACAGATAAACAGAAATAAAACATGCTCAACTGTTTCCAAATAGTAACTGAAGTCTTTTTCTTCTGTACTTGGATTACAAAATGGGAAAACCAAATACTAGTTCTATAACTTCAATAAGACACACAGCTAGACAGTTATTCCACAGCTGATCAGAAAAAGCAGGTTTTATTAATATTGGTAAGGAAGACACCCCGAGATCTAAAGAGCTTCCTTAGGCCAGGCCAAGGGCTTGTATCCAACTAGTGAGATCTTCACTCCCCACCTGCCCAAAAATCAACATGCTGTATCATACATCAGTTTTGAAAAACTACTCTGTGGTTTGACAAAAAGAAGGGGAGGGGGCTGCCATTCAACATGGGGGCTGCTACTCAAGAAAGACCAGTCCAAGGCATGCTTGGCTTCATAAATCAAGTTGAGCAGATCTTTTAGATGCTGGACACAATTCAAAGTAAGACGTGCAAAAACCAAATTTCTGCAGTTGACAGAGAACCAAAATGAAAATCAATTACAAAAAGAGAAAAGGTAAGCATTTTTAAAAAGCAGTACATTTGACCTGCAGACAAACTGGCAACACGAGATTTGCTGTGGACCCAGAAATAAGTCAAAGCAAAAAAAGCCAGGTTGCAGCTGTTCCTTTTTATCCATATAGCTGGTGAGATTCCTCCTCATTTTCTACGGAACTGTGTAATACTCAAAAAGTGCTTGCTGCAAGATGACAAAGCAGACTATGACTTACAAGTTCTTTTTTCTTCATACATTCCAGCAGCGTCTGGAACAAGTGAACTGCCTCACTCTGGCCAAAATTAAATGTCTTTTTGATGGTTGAAATTATTTCAGGTTCTGCCCCATCAGGAATACATCTGAGAAAACCAGAAAGCACGGCTTTATTCACAGAAATGTAGGGTATCTTTTTTCTTCATCTTTTTTTTCTAAAAGCAGCTTGAAAACAAAGCCCTGTCCTACAGAGGATGGGATTCTCATCCAAAAACACCTCTCAAGGAAGTGCTCTTCACTTTACAGCGTGAAGAATTCACAAGACAGGATGTCTCAACAGGCTTACCCTCCTTCTTCTGTTTGCTTATGGACATAAGCCAGGATGTCAGCAGCTCTGCCAGTGCCCTCACAAACCACCACCGGCACAGGAGGACTTTCCTGCAGGTATTCCAGAACAGTGAGGATAACATTGGGACCACCTTCAAATATGAGTGCCACCACAGGGACACCCTGGCCAATTCCTAAACCAGACAGGTAAAAGCAAATGATGCACATATATTATGGATACACAGTTCTTTTATCTTAAAACATACAAATCCCACTGTTTATTTAAAAGCCAGCTTACATATCAATTACTTGTGCTCAGTGCATTCCATGAACCAGAGTTACTATCAAGGCTACTTATAACTGCAGTTAAAATATAAAATTAAAATTTTACATTCGAGCTAAGCTAAATTCTAGGATGATAAAAAGCAGAACTACAGCCTAAAGTGCATCCAAATCAAGAAACTGCTTATGGTTTCTCGTAATCATTTATTCTGCAGTTTCTACCATTTTGCACAGATTGTTCCATTGCTGCTTGTCACTGAGGAAGGACCATGCTGGTCACTGAAGAGCCACCATCGGACCACTGGGATTCTTATTGCTGCCCACAGATGGCGGATGGGATCCCGAGAGCTCCTTGTACGTGCACAAGGCGTGGCACCTGCCCCCTCCCTCCCGCACTACAGCCCACATCATTCCAGGGTGTCTCCAGAGTGACGTTTTCCAGGAGCAAAAGGGGCTTCAGGGGGACGGAGCAAGTGGGGAAAGCACAGGTATAATCATATTTCACTGGATCCTGCAACTATACCAGCTAGAAGCGTGCCTGTTTTCTTTCTTTCTCTATGAAAACTCAGATACTTAGGAAACTAAATTCTATGGCTGATACCAGATTCTGTGGCTTTTGAGGATTCTTGTGGAACCACAGCAAACAGAGTTGTGTGCATGCTAACTGCTGAATGACTAATTTTAAAGTACAATGTCCCCATCAGAGGCCCCCAGAAGGCATCCTGGAACCAGGACAAATAATAAACTGACACAGACACAGGTAGATGAGAAACTCATCAGTTCCCATGAAAAAGAAGTGAATGTGGAATAGCTTTTGATAAACAACTGATATGAAATGTGTGACAGTCTTTAGGTCAAGGTGAGCACATTTTACACAAACTACAGATACTGATCTTCACTGTTTTAACCTCCTCACTACCCAGTCAACAGAAATCAGAAAGCTAATATTCACAACATAAGATCAAGCTCAACATAACCCCTCCAGTTGCACAAACAAGTTAAAACGCTGAGCAACATTTTAAATACAGCTAATCATACACGAGGCCTGAAGTGCGGTTTATGCCTGATGAAGACATAATTAAAATGCAGCCAACTAAGTCAGCAGACACACGAACGGAACACAGAAACTGTAAACGTGTCATGACATGGCACAGTAAAATGTAGCCCATAGGTACAATAAATACAGAAGACGTCAGAACTGCACACCTTCTCCTTGCCACCTTCTTCATCAAAACAGATCCTTTGTTTTTAAGAACAGTAAGCAGTAAATGTGCAAACATACATTATCACCTGTTAACAATATAGTATAAAATGATGCCTTAAACACTAATGAAAAAAAAGCTCTGAAAGAAGACAGATCCTCCCATCTGCTCACATATAGGTACAAATTCACAATTACTTCTACTGCCACCATTCTCCCCAAGCAGAAAGGGGACATCAGGCATTACATAGCACAATAAGAATCCACCTCAGAGAGGTCAGTGAGAGGAGTTAAGATAAGTTTCTACATTCATTAGAACTAAAGTTTTTTGTGGACTTTTCTACTTCCTGCAATAAATGAAGAATTATTGCCTATGTGTGTGTTCCCCCTCAAAACAAATTCAACACAAAGAAAAATAGCATATCAGGAGCAAGACTAGCTAGACCCCTTCTCCAGGTTGCTATTTTTCTAAGTACAAAGAATACTCTACAGGTAGAAGTCAAACATTTAACCTCCACCCCACCCCCCCAGCCTGAAGTGACACACGCTTCACCACTCATCACCTATTTCTCAGCCACATGTTTTTCACATTTCAACAACAACAACAACAACAAAAGAAGGCCATGCCACAGCCAGGCTTCACACCCACATACTTGCATGGATCCTTTGCAAATTGATAGTTTTTTCCAGTTCTCGTCGAAGTTTAACTTCTGCCCCATATTTTCCAACTGTTCCATCATCCACCAGTATGAAATGGGAATGAAGATTATTTAGGACATTTAATTTACTTAAAGGATTTAGCAGGGTTTGATATGGAGCAACCACCTAAATGTCAAAACACAAACAAACAAATCCCTGTAAAAATCTAATCGTCAGGAGTGTAAGGTGGAAATAAATCATAATCCCTTTGAAGATTTATTGGGCTTTAAAAGGCCATGTGTCTGTTTACTGCCCATTTTATCAGCCAGCTACGGTTCTCTGCTTTGTTCCTTCAGAAAAGAAGCTGCACTACTAAAAAGTGATTCCCCCCCCCCCCAATGGAATACTATTTCTACAATACCTCAGTAAAGGCAACGTAGATTGTTTTGATTCTGGTATGCCCACAGCCTGCCCGGATAGGCCCTTGGCACAAGATGCATGAGGTCTCTTACTGTGGAAAGTACCCCCATTACAACAACATCAAGCCCAGTACACTACACAACTAGACTTATATTGACATCAAAGCCTTACAGTGCAAGAACAGTTCTGTGAAAGTAAGCGCCATTAAACAAATCAGAGAGTATTCCATTTAGACCTGCTTAGGATAGCACTATTAATGTAGTTATAAAGAATTCATCATAATCGATTAAGAGCACAACATATGGACCAGCTTACATCTCTCCCAACGAGGTCATTTCTGTTTTCAATCACTCCCCATGAAGCTATTCCAATAGTGCAAATCTTTCGAGATGATCGAGAAGCATGTTCCTTGAGGGCATCACCAACATGTTTTGCAACTCCTGTCCAGGAAAAAGGAATGTCACTAAGATTATGTTCTACCAGCACAAACAGATCATTTAGACCAAACCACCATCTTAAAGCCACGATTGTCTATCAAACCATCTTCAAAAGATTTCTGACCAGGCTTTCTGTGAAAACTTCCTTGAAAGGTCAGAGAATCTCCCTTCTGACAGTTTGTTCCAGTTCTGGCCAAATTTCCCTTGCCAGTCATAAGTTTCTTGTGAACATGTTCCTTGTAATTTACCTTCATTACTTTTACCATGGCTGAGTACGATAAGCAGTTATTTTCCTTCTTTAAAATACTTGGGGGGGGGGGGGGAGAAATCCTGCCAACATGACCCCTTTTGACCTTAATTTCCTTACCTAATCACACACTGTTCTTTCAGACTTTTTTAAAAAACAAACCCCTTCTAAAAATTTTGACTGGAAGCTTATGCGGTCATGACGCATATCAATTAAGGCATTACACAAAATTATGTTCTTTGCAAGAAAAACACCAGAATATTGTGCCAAATATTGTAGGCTATTTTTAGCGGCTGCAGCAACACCCATGCTCAATTAAAAGGTATCTATTGATAATGTTGAGCCACATCTAAAACTGTAAACCGACAACAATGACAATAATAACAACAAATTTTAGCTGATTTTGAAATATTACTGTACACACTGACTTTGTGTATTAAAGTCACAAATACGTAAACACTGAGGTTGAGATTGGAGCTTTCCTATTTGCAAAGCATTCAAAAGAATATGAACAGAATCTTCCACAGGTAGATCCAGAATTTCTACCTATTTATATTCTGCCCTGACCTGGATAGCTCAGTCAAATCTCGGAAGTTAAGCAGGGTCAGCCCTGGTTAGTACTTGGATAGGAGACCACCACGGAAGCACAGGGTTGCAACACAAAGGCAAGCAATGACAAACCACTTCTGAACGTCTCTTGCTTTGAAAACCTCACGAGGTTGGTTGACTGAAATTCTTTAGTGAACTGCACCTCCTCGGCTCCTATGGTTTTCAACTGGGACACAAACTTGTGTGTTATACTGTGTTCTGAGGTCGGTTATTGATATTAACTCCTGTGGGTGTCAGGTCTTGAAGAAACTCACTCCCAGCAACACTCTCTTGGCAGTGATTTGTTTATTGAGAGACAGAGAGGTCTCAAGCATAGACGATCTGTGTCAGACTCCCTTGGCGCCAGTTGCCATATTATACATAATTCAAACAACCCCGTCTTATGACCAGTCCAATCACACCAATACATCCAGCCCGCCAATGTACCGTTAGCCCTCCTCCAGCACCTGCAGGCATAGGGTTACATTATCTAGCAGTGTCTGGTACTCAAGGTGGAGGCCCCGCACAGACGCAGTTACAAACAAGCGCGACTCCCAGCAAAGCAGCTCCACACACATACACCCTCACACACACACATACTCCCCCCCCAAACTGGACTGAAACAGGACAACAAGCATACAGATCCGAAGACAGACAGACTGTTAAGAAACCCATGGCAAACGAGGATCGAATTTGATAGTGGGAAGATACAGTGAACACTGTTGCAACTTTAGTCGCATACATGCAAAGCCCAGATCTTGGCATGGTTGCCACATACTGTTACACCGAGCCCCAATATCCAATTTATGACCAATGGAAATTCCAAGGCTGTTGCCTCCCAGGCCCTGCACACTACAACTTAATAGATATCACTGTGGGGAAAACATATCATATAGAATGGAGACTGATCCAATTTATATGCACCTATGATATCTGGAAGGTATAATATGGAGTGAAAACATTACCTGTATTCACTCCTCCAGTTATAATCCAGGCTCCTGTTGTCACTGCTGCTTTAATAAGGCCTTTACCAAGCAACTGTTTGATGCGTGGGTGAAGCTCAAATTTCTGCATTCCTCCATGAACGGAAATAACAAGCTTGGGCAGTTCCATCTGCCATTCTTTAAGCATAAGCTGGAGGATGGCTTCAGGTTTTGTATCATAGGACAACCGCACATACTAACAATGGAAGAATTGGGAAGAGTTAACCACTTTAACATACATAATAATGAAAATATAGCTCACACCTTAATGAAGCACAAGGATGATGTGTAAGGATATACATGTGTTCTTCCCAAATTCATGAATTCTAAGGGAATTTCAGAACCCCTACAAAATTTTGAATATATCCACAGTATTTCCACAGTAATAATGTTTTTAAAAACTTGGATTTTAATCATTTATCCGCTCCATCACATTATTCTGTCTAGTCAATATCATACAAAAACACTGAAAATCCAAAGTGCATTAATTAAAAGAAAATTTATTAAGCTCACTGGAGCATAGTGGCATACAGAATGGTTCAGAGACAAATTATGGCTTCTGCAAACCGGGAAGTAAAGATGGGAATAGGTGAGGGTGGAGCACATTTAACAGGCAAGAGACAGTTTGGGCACGGCACCTGAAACTGGCCACAGTCCCTGTGCACCCTTGCCACCTTTCCTGTAACAAAATATGAAAAGCAAAGCCAAAGTGTTTGCTATAAAACCAAAACACTGACTGATTTGTAGAAGAGAATCTTTTTGAAGAAGAGAATTCCAGCTGATAGAAGAGAGATGACAAAAATCTGAAGTGCTGTTAATTATGCTGTGAAAGAGGTGGATTTATTCTTCTTGCTTATCAGCATTATACTCACTTCAAAAGACAGAACACGAATAGTAAACAACTCAATCCATGTCAAAAACTGCAGATAATTTGCACAGAAAATGGGTTTCAATAATGAATATGTCTTCAATCTTGAGAAGCCACCACTTTTCCTTAAAGCACAAGTCAGTCACATGAGAACTTGATTTCTCTATACGCTGTTGCCTCTGTGACCGGGTGCTTCACTTGCACATTATCCCAAAAGCACTTATGAAGCCTGGGGTTAGATGACAAACAGGAGTGGGGTGTTGGGACATTTGAAACGTACCTTAGCTCGGTAAGAATGAGAGCCTCCTTGGAAGTTAATGATGCCATAAGCATCTGTTGGACCCTGTTCTGTATGTTTTTCCACTGACCACTCTTCTATCTCCTGATTAAAACTTTCACCCAGTTTCACATCTGAATATTTCATGGCAAGACTCGCTGTGAAGCAAGCATGTTGCCGGACCAAGCGGCCACAGCAGCACCTGCAGAGAATCATCACAAGCCAGGGAATTAATGTTATCTATTTTAAAATATTTCCATGCTGCTTTGTCAATTTTAGTTGCTCCAAGTGGCTCACGTCAAAACAGTACACAATAAAATTAATGAGCAGCACAGAATTTTAAACACAGCAAATAAAAATCTCAAATGAAAAAATACACAAATAGCAGAATAATCACAGCCAAAATACAGAGCCAAAAAATAAAATTCAACCAAAAGAAGGATGAAACGGAAAGGTTTTCACCTGGAACCCGAAAGTAGGCAATGAAGATGCCAGGAGGACCTCTCAGCGATGGGTGTTCCATAGATACAGGACCACCACTGAAAAGGCCCTGTCCCTGGTCACCACCTGTCTCACTTCTATTTGTGGGGGCATCTAGAGAAGACCTCTGAAGAAGCGAACAGGCAAATTCATACTGATGGAAGTGGCCCTTCAGACATACTAGGCCCAGATATTGTAGGGCTTTAAAAATCAAGTCCAGCAATTTGAATTAGGCCTGGAGATAAACTAGGAGTGAAAGCAAAACTTGCAAAACACTGTCTTCGAGGCATTTCCCTATCAACCTCTTTGCCATGGTATCTTGGACCATGTATTATTTCCCAACAGCTCCTCAAAGGCATCCCTATACAGAGAGCATTACAACAGTCAAAGCCTTCACGTAACCAGAACAGGGAAAGACTTAAGATCTTACTACATTTCTCCAGTTGGGTAACTATACCTAGGAAAGGGCACAGGTAACATATCAAACACAGTTTATAAAAGGCATTACGAGACATCAAGGCCTTTCTGGCATCTAGCCATAGGGCCTGATCCACAAGCAGCAAACTTCCTCCTCTAAGGTAAGTGCCATGCTGCCCTGAAGCCCATTCTCTGAGAGGCTGCTCAAATTTTTCTTCTGGTTAAAAACAATTAGATCATAACATTCATAATAATCATGCAAGAGAAAGATAATAAAAACCAGAATATGAGAATAAAAACTACAGAGTGGGTGATCAAAATATTTCAAAGACCCAGACGATGATAAACATCAGTAAATGACTAAAATATTAGTTCTAGTTTCCGAAGTCTATTTCTGGCTATAAGCACCTTTGTTTAAACCTGTTTTAATTTTCCCTTGCCTTTTGTTTCCAGTTATTTTCAAATACCATAGCCAATTTTCTGACATTTTACTAATATTAAATCAAAGCTGTATGTTTTAGAGACTAAATTCAAGGGGCAAATTGAAGAGAGTTCTACTTACCTGACAAGTTGCTGACAAATCTGACATCCTGGGAGGCATCTGTTAAAGAATACAGGAACAGGATCTTTAGCACTCTGCCCTTCTCATCCTCATACCCAAGAATCTATTCCTTAATATGAAGAAGATTGTCCTTAAGCATTCATGTCTCCACTCCTTATAGTTTACACCACAAAATTATTTATAGCTCAGTTTTTACATGTATAGTTTTGGGACATGGCTATAAAGTGAAAAGCACTGATTGTTTATTGGTGTAATTTTGTAAAGGTGTTCCAGAAGTAACATGGCTGCTGACACTGACAGGTAATAAGTAACACTGTCTCTATCAGTGCAGTCCTAAACAGAGTATTTCCTACTGAAGTCAATGCCTGTCTTCAGAACCATTCAAACTCCAGTTTGCTGTAAAATACAAAGAGAAGTAAAACTGGAGTTCTTTTCTTCCCCAGAAACTGGGATTAAACCTTTATTCAGAATCCCAGGGTTTTTTTGTGGGGAAGAACCAAAGCTCCAGTTACCCAGACACCTGAATTTGGACATTAAAGCAAGATGGATTTGGAGTGAAGGCTTCCCAAACTTGGAAAAATTCAGTTGTGTTCCATACATGAGGCAACTGCGGAAAGGTGTACATGAGCTTAAGAACAAGCTGCATCCATGTTTTTCACAGGCAAGCAGGCTTTTCATGATGTCTGAAAGAGGCCACTGTGAAGAGTTAAACCCAGGTTTGCCACAAATTATACATTCCATAGGGAGCAGCAACCAATCACATGGACGAATGCCCCTGTATGAGGTAAGTATTTACCACATTAACTCTTCACATTTTTAGAGGCGTGCTTCAAATCTTAGGAACACACATTTTAAGAAAATAATGTGTGCTGAAGAGTTTATTCTCCAGGGTGAAAATGAGAAAAGGATCAAAAGGCTACCTACAACTGTGCTTCTCAAAACCACAAAGGACAAGGTTTTCCCAATAATAAATGAACTGGATTTACAAATTACTGTTATTCTTTTTTAAAAAAGCAATTCCTATCATCTTTATTTAGGAATCTTATTTGTGAATTAATTCACATATGGGCTCAGTAAAGCACTGAACTCTTGTCTGGAAAATGTTCTCAACATCAACTTCCTAATTATCCAGTTGGCGTTTGCAAACTGTCCATGTGTTTCAATCAGATCATAGCAAAACCTTCTCAGGGCTCTATGGCTTCAAGAAATGCAGTGAACTCAAAGTAACATGTTTTGCAAACTAAAACAATTAATGGCTATTTCCCATTCAACTGTAAACAGATTCTGAGAAGCTGAAATTCAAGTCTTCCCAGAATTAACAGGTTATTTCTGCTTTGTCTATATAAAGAAATCCTGCGCCACTTTATAATTTACCTGTGAGGGTCCTTGGAACTTGGTATAATATACACACATTCTCGCTTGGTAAAAGTATTTTCTATCCAAGATTTCTGGGACTGCAAAGTAAGATATTCTGAGCGTCAAAACACAAATATTGTCAAGTATCATTAAAAACATCATTTCACAGAACACACTCTCTTAGGATCAATCTATTTTTTCTAGTAACAAATTAAATGTTGCAAAATTTGGTTCAATAGTTCACACACTCGCTAAACCAAGAGTATCAAGATAGCACAAATTAGTAGCTGTCATATTTCATTGTCTGGGAAATATCCAAAAAGCTGTCAAAAAGTTTTTTAAAATCTGTATACTTTTATATGAAAAGCCTGAGGGAGAACACACACCAAAGTATGGCCAAAAATACAGGATTTGATCCAAAGAATCTGAACGGAGTGCAGAAAGTCATTAGAAGTTATCCTAAAGCAAACCTATGAACTCCTTTGGTTCAACAAGGAGACTTTTCCTTCTGCTGATGAGAAGTCCATGATAGTCTCACAAACATTCCATCACTTACTGAAATACAATAGTCCAGGCTGAAAACCTCTACACACATCACACAGATACATGAAACAGCATCATGATGATGTGCCTTATACTTCCACCAGAACTGAGCCTGTTTTTCTGACATTTAGTACATATTATGGTGAAGTGATTTTTTTCTCTCATTGTCTTTACAAAGTGATTTTTCTCTCTCATTGTCTTTACAAAACTACAATGAGCCAGTTAACAAGGTAACACAGGGAGACTTAAAAGTGCTTTCAGTTCACTGAAAATCTTTCTTGCAGCTAAGACTTTTCCGAATTTATCTTTGTGGTTATACAAAATGAGGCAGATTTCCACATGCTCACTGTATACAAGCATTGTAAGATGGAACATACAAAACAATTACATGAATTTGATCATATTTACCACCTGAACTATATCTATTGTAAAAGACATAAATGACAAGTTTAGAAGCATCTGAAACTAAAGGCAAGTCATACCAGCCTTTAGAACATTTACTACAGTCTGAACTGTCCAAAAACATGAATTTTAGTAAATGTTAGTAAAGACTGCTCATCTATGGATTCACCTGGAAATAGGTCTTATCATAAACACCAAGCAGAGCGCAAGAACTATTTTCTAAATTTTAATCTCAAGAAGAAAAGGTTTGTAAAATTCTGTTTTACAGGGTACAGACAAACATCATATACCATTTTTTCAGATTTTCTTTATAATTATTTCTGTGTATCACAATATTTGAAGCCATAAACATAGCAAGAGAATGCTTTAAAAAAAATACCTGTTCAAGATAGAAGGTCCATCTTATTTTTTCTTTGCAGAAATCCATTCTAAACAACTACTAGCAAGTCTCCTTTGAGGATCAATCTTATACCACACGGTTTACTCTAATTTAAGGCTTTCGAGATGACAGGTTATAACAACATAGTGCTTCTAAAGTGCAGGATGAGATCAGACCTTAAAAATAATTTAATGTTACATTACAGGGACAATCCTATTATTGCCTTTGTATGAGATGAATATTCAGGGGGTCCTCTATATCCACGGCTTCATTTTCTGGCTATGGCACTTGAAAGCAATTCTGCTATGAAACTACATTGATTCCTTGGAATCAGTGAAACACATTAACGGGCATATTCTGCCAACTGTAACCAAGGCAAAGTTTGAATGCATGCAGCTGATTTCTACTGAATCAGACCACTGGTCTATCAAGATCAGTACTGTCTAGTCTGACTGGAAGACGTTCTCCAGAGCCCCAGGAGAAGGTCTTTCACATTACCTGCTACATTATCCCTTTAACTGGAGATGCCAGGGATTGAACTTGAGACCTTCTGCATAGAAAGCAGATGTTCTGCCACTGAGCTACAGCCCCTCCAAGTTGTGGTGATCAGTTACTTAATATTTAATATGCAAAAGTCTGAAAATATTCACCATTACTGAATCATGAAGTGATGTTTGGCTGTTAAGAGCCTGCAAGGTGGGTGCCAAGAAGTACAGCTGGCAATACAAAATGGCTGGCCAGCCAAATGGAGCTCACCCACACTGTGGGACTATGCATATGAATCATACATTGCAAGTAGGTGTTTGATTCACAAACCGTAGGTGAGACTGCTCCAATATTAATATATGGATATTCTGACTTCTAGTACCAAGTGTCACCCACTTTTGATTGACAATTATATCATGCCACATTATGAAGGGGGTGTACCATTAGGCTATTGCAGTGCTGAGTACCAAACCCATTCCCAAGACCATGTTTCATGTGGCCCCTTTATTAAGATGGCCTTAAAAGAACTTAGTGAAATACTAGTATCTGCACTGTCCCAAGTATTTATCCAGAGAGGCAATTTAACAAATAAGAAGTTGCCTTGTGATGAGCAAAACAGTCAGCAAACCAAACTATGAGCCCTACAGGTGATGTGTCAGGACAGACAGTACAACTCAGGCTTCTGCACTGTGTTAGGAGAACTGGATCTCCAGCTGAATGTATATGCCTTCTATTGTATCTCTAGGCACATCTAGGAAAGTAGGCGCTAGTTCAAACAGCAGTGGAAGAAGCGACTACATGAAGAAGCCTGCTGTAGTCAGATGATACTGAAGTAAGGAGGAAGACTGAAAAGCAGCACTGAGCAAAACGTTTACTTCTCCAGTCAGTGCAATCCTGCCCATTCAGAAGCTTTGGGACTCACAAGTCAGTCCATTAATTCAATGGTGTTACTCCCAAGACAGCATCCACAAGGCATGCAGCCAATATCAATGAACCAGCTTGTTGGTCCTTCACCCGCCTTTTCCCTGAATGCAAAATGGGAATTAGTGCCCCAATCCCAATCCTGGGAATGGAAGCTCTCATCTGAAGAGTAGGTTTTTACACCCTGCTTTTCTCTACCTAAAGGAGTCTCAGACGCTTACAATCACAGGCTCTTACTCTCTCCACAACAAGCACCTTGTGAGGGAGGTGGGGCTGAGAGAGTTCTACGAGAACTGTGATTGACCCAAGGTCACCCAGCTGGCTTCTTGTGGAGGAGTGGGGACTCAAACCACTCTTAACCATTACACCACACTAGCTTGCAGGAGAAGAAAAGCAACACACAATAAACCTGAAAGAGAAACAAAGGCAATACAGTGGTTTATAGATAAAGTCAAACCATAGTTTGTTGTTGCATAAGCAAATATCAAGCTTATGCACTCCCTCACACAGAATCATCACATGTTCCAAGTTCCTCCAACATATTCTGTTTTCCTCCAAGTTCCTCCAACATATCACAGGCCTAGCCAGCTTTACACATGCAGCACAATGACATAGTAATTGAGATGGCAGGATACTGAGGTAGCAGAACGGACTATGCCACGTCAGACTGCAGGTGAGGGATTTAGGGGAGAGGACATGGCTCAGTAGTAGAGCTTTGCATGCAGAAGGTCCCAGGTTCAATCCCTGGCATCTCCAGTTAAAAAGGACCAAACAGAAGGTGATGTGAAAGACCTCTGCTTGAGACTCTGGAGAGCTGTGGCCACTCTGAGTAGACAAAACTGGTCCCAAATCCAATCCCCAGCATCTCCAGTTAAAAGGACCAGGTGGTAGGTGATGTGAAAGACCTCTGCCTGAGACCCTGGAGAGCTGCTGCCAGTCTGAGGTGACTATGCTGACTCTCATGGACCAATGGTCCGATAAGGCAGCTGATAAGGTCTGATAAGGAAACTTCATGTGTATTATATTTTCCAAAGTTCCCCAGTATTAATAAACCCCCTGTTAAGTGGAAAACTGGCACAGCTTGCAAAGAGTCAGGCTAGAACTTTACAGTCTGCTATACTATGGCCCCGGTCACACGGGCAGGAAAATGTGGGGGGGAAGCGTGGCTGTTTGCCCCGGAGCAAAATAACGTGTGGTTGCACGATCAGACGTCCCGCCGAGGTCCCATGTTTAGGGGGGAGGTGCCGATCACACGACCATCCCGCAAAGAAGTGGCGCGGCGCGGTCACACCAGCAATCGCTAGGCGCCGCTTCCGTGGCAAACAGGATAGATTTTTTTTAAACTGACGTTTGTACATACGCATGACTGAGCAATCGTATCTGCACATCCGAAGGCAGGTGGTGGGCTTACCAGAGGGGGCGACAGACGCTTCTGGACCCCAACAGAGCTCCGAGGCATAGCCAATGGAGGGGGGGTGGGCCCCCTCGTCACAGCCGCTCTAACCGCCTGTGCGACAGTGGCCATAGCGACCCTCCAGAGGCGGCAAGCCTGGCTGCAGTGGGAGGGAGCCTCTTTGTGCGCATGCACCGTTGGGCGCTTGTGCGCATCCTGTGGAGACTTGGGAAAAAAACCTGCTCGCAACGGGACATGGGCGGGCGCCAGATGCCATGGGATTCCACCGGAAACGCGATCAGGCACCCGCCCTTGTCCCGCGGTTTCCGGAAACTAGTACCTCGGAGGTACTAGTTTTTTACCCCGCATCTTCGGCAGGAAGCCTCGGGTTCGGCACAGGAGCTCTACGCTTCCAAGATGTGGTGGTGTGATCGTACCCGGAAAATCTGCCTATCTTCCGTCTCTGTAGCGAGGCTAATGTTCCGTGTGACCGCAGCCTATGGCTGCAGTCACACACACAAAATAATCCACTTTCCAACTGGATTTTGCCAGTTCACACAGTAAAAATCCAGCTGGAAAGTGCCCTGAAAGTGGATTGAAACTGGATTATTTCGTGTGTGTGACCACACCTTATATTTTATCTGCAGGAAGGTCTTTACAAGGTGGGGCATGGAACCTGTGCCTACCTACAGAAGTGGAAAGGCTATTCCTCCACCTCAGAATTTTGCCGCCTCATTCTCTTGCATGCCTAGTCCAGGCCACAGTATTCCTAGCCTGGATGTAATAGTCAACTATGATTCGCCACAAACCAGGAAGAGACCAAACCTTGAAAGAGAAGAGTAAGAAAGGAAGGGAGAACCCAAGGCTCATTCATGTAACACCAAACCATAATCTGACATAATGTCTGAACCCATTCATTGTCTGGTCTTCTGTTGCTTCCTACTCATACAACACAAGGCTGCTTCAGATGCTGCTCTCCTCCCATCCATGT